GCTCAAGTGGTAGAGCACCTGCTTTACAAAGTCAGAGCTCTGAGTTCAAACTCAGAGCTGGCCCTGGAATTCATCTGCTGTGGTCTGGGTGTTTGTACATCTCTTCAGTGATGGGGAGACAAACAGGGGAATTCTACTGAACTAGTGTGATTGGTTTTCTTCTCCACATTTTTTGGATGTTGCGACATTTTTAAATCAATGAGAAGAAAAGGTTTAAAAATGAACTTTTGTGCTATTTAGCAATGGTTAAATTAGAAACATATTTATGCTACTGTGGACTGCATTTAATTTTTAAATATTTAGTAGTAACAAAACCAATTGCTTCACCTTGCAGAAGGTACACTGGAAGCAGAGTGAGAAGCTGTGTCTCCTTGGTGTGGGCTGGTAACTTCTGATGACATCTGTCCAGAACATATTCCAGGCCAACCCACTGCTGCTTCACTCCTGTGTCAGCATTTGTGATGTTGAAGGAGCAAAGCTCACATACTCCAAGATCCCACCAGAGCTCTGACTCTGTCCCAGAACCACCTGCGTCATCTTGGTCCAGTCGGGACAGAAGCCTCATCAGTTATCAGCACAAAGAAAATGTTTTAAAATAATTTCTTTTTTGGTGGTACTGGAATTTGAACTTGGGGCCTCACGCTTGCTAGACAGGCACTCTACCACTTGTGGCACACACCCATCCCTTTGTGCGTTAGTTTTTCAGGTAGAGTCTCAAATTTTTTTGCTTAGGCCTGCCTGGACTAAGATCTTTCTATTCCAGCTTCCCACATAGCTGATATGACAAGAATGCATCACGCACCACACCCAGCTTTCTTGTTGAGATGAGGTTTCACTACCTTTTCACCTGGGCTGGCCTCAAACATCAATCCTTCCATCTCTGCCTCCTGAGTAGCTACAGGCATGATGAAAACAATTTACAGTAAGCCGCACGTTTAAAATGTACAATTTAAGAGATGTGACTCAGGGGGCCAGATGTGGTGGTACATGCTTATAATCCTAGCCACTCAAGAGGCGGAGGTAGAAGGATCACAGTCAAAGGCTGGCCCCAGTCACAAGCATGAGACCCTATCTGAAAAAAACAAACAATAGCAAAAAGGACAGAGGATGTGGCTCAAGTGGTAGAGCACTTGCCTAGCATGTCAAGGCCCTGGGTCACAAAAAACAAAAACATACAATTTAGGTGGGGTTTTTTTTTGGGGGGGGAAGCTGCACTGGAGTTTGAACTCAGGTCCTTGCATTTGCTAGGCAGGTGGTGCTCTACCACTTGAGTCACGCCTCCAGAACTGTCAAGTTTTGTTTTTTTGTGGTGCTGGGATAGAACCCAGGGCCTCTTGAACCATCCTGTCCTTTTGTTTGTATTTCGTTTCTGAGATAGGGTCTTGCTAACTTTGCCTGGGCTGGCCTTGAACTCACCATCCTCCTGCCTCTGCTTTCCTTCTTCTATTCCTGCCAGAAGTGCGTGAGAATTCCCATTCTTCCACATCCTCACCAACACTTAGATTAGTAAGTCTCAATTTTAACCCTCCTAATAACCACGCAGTGCAAGCCCACTGTGGTTTTCATTCGTACGTGGGTCTGGGTACCTCAGATATTGAGGGAGTGAGCTAGGGGACACTGGAGTTCATGGCAGGAGTGCATCTAGGGTATTCAGAGGATGTCTAGTGACAGTCCAGGAACACGGCCCAGAGGAGAACAGGACAATGGGGAACCACAGGGCTGTGAAACAGGCAGTGACAACTGGGGGGTTGCAAAGTCCATAGGGTCAGTTGGTCTCTTTCTCACTGTCATACACACACACACACACACTCGCACCTCTGCAGAAACATCTTTTTTTGCTACTGGGGTTTGAACTCAGGGCCTCATGCTTGCTAGGCAGGCGTTCTACCACTTGAGCCACATCCCGTCCTTTTCTGCTTCAGTTATTTTTCAAATAGGCTCTCATATTTATGCCCAGGCTGGCCATGATCCTCCTGTTTACGCATCCAGAGCAGCTGGGATGACAGGTGCACACCACCACACCTGGCTTGTTGGTTGAGAATGGGAAGGGGTCTGTCTCTCAAACTTTTTGCCCAGGCTGGCCTCCAACTTTGATCCTCCTGATCTCTACCTCCTGAGTAGCTGGGATTATAGGCATGAGCCACTGTGCCTGGCCAGAAACATCTTTCAGTGAGCACACCCAAGGCAGTCCCCTCCACCTAATGCTGACTACTACAAGCTCTTCATGGAGTTTGAGCCAACACATTCTAATGGAAAAAGGCAAGTTCTGCCTTGGGAGGCCATAGCTATACACTTAAAGTGTGGCCAGGCCCCATCCACCCACATGGGTGGGAACAATCCCGGCAGAGAGCTCCAGGGGTGCCAGGAGGCAGGAGGAATGATGGAAGTGGGGTTCAGGCATACTGTGTTGGTGGGAGTGTCAAAATGTGGTGCCTACGTCTGCTGAGTAGGGTGCTCATGGCCCACACTCCACGGGGCTGACCTGAGTGGACTGCACACAGCTGCCCCCTGCAGCCTGTATAGGTCAGCCTCCCAGGGCAAGAATGGGGTGGAGAGTGGACATGGAGGGGAAAACAGAAAGCATTCAGCATGGCCTGTCCCCATCCTCAAGTCAGTTTTGTTCCTGTTGGTCACCACCAGTACTATTCAAGAACAGCGGTGTCCCCTCCCAGAACATTGTCATGCTTGGCTGGGAACATCCTTCAGGCTCTCTCCTATCATAAGCAGTCTGAGCACGGTCCACATGCTAGACCCATGCAACCTGTATGGTACTGGGGTTTGAACTCAGGGCTCATGCTTGCTAGGCCACTCCACCAGTGGTATGTGTGCATGTGTGTGTTTTGAGTATTTTTGAGATAGGGTCTTGCTTTTGCCCAGGCTGGCTTCAAACTGTAATCCTCCAGTTTCTGCCTCTTGAATAGCTAGGATTATAGGCAGCAGTCACTGGTCCCCAGCCCTCCTGAGGCTCCTGGACCCCCGCACCATGGGAGCCAAGTCCCCAGAGTGCAGCCATGGTTCCTGTAGGCCACTGTATTAACTTCCTGTAGCTGCTGTAACAAATGACCATAAACTGAACAGAACAACAAAGCTTGTTCTCTCAGACTGAGATGCAGGACATCCAAAACTAAGATGTTGGCTGGCCAGGCTCTTCCGAAGCTTCTAGAGCAAGGATCCTTCTTTGCCTTTCTCAGCCTCTGGTGGCCAGGTGCCCCGGCTCGCGGATGCATCACTCCCGTCTTTGCCTTATCTTCACATGGCCGTCTTCTCTCAGCGGCTGTCTCTCTCTCTTTCCCCCCCCGCCAACCTTTTCCCTCAGTTTTTGGAAGCAATGGGTTTTGAACTCCAGGGCCTTGTACTGACTAATAGGTACTCCAACACTTGAGCCGCACTCCCAGCCCTTTTTGCTTTAGTTATTTTTCAGGTAGGTATTCAAGTTTTTTTCCAGCCTAGCTTCTGACTACAATCCTACTTACAGCCTCCCTAGCAGCTGGGATGACAGGTGCACACCACCATACCTGGCTTGGTTTATTGGTTAAGATGGGGTCTTGCTAACTTTTTGCCCAGGCTGGCCTTAAACTGTAATCCTCCCCATCTCTGCCTCCCTAGTAGCTGGGATTAAAGACATGAACCACCACAACAGACCCTGCTTCTTGTAAGGGCACCAACTGTTATGGAGTAAATTATGCTCACCCCCATCTGAAATTTGCATATTGAAGCCTTAACCCCAGTACCTCAGAATGTGGCTGTATTTGGCGATAGGGCCTTTGACGAATAAATAAGAGGCCCATTGTGACTGGTGCCCTGAGAAGAGACTGGGGCACAGACAGGAGAGTTGAGCAAGCAGAGGCAAAAGTGCATGAAGAGTCAGCTATCCGCCAGCCAAGGAGGGAGGCCTCAGAGAACAGCAACTCTGCTAGCGCCACCTCTAGCATCCTTCAGACCTGAGAGGGGCTGGCAAAGCCACACGCCATCTGTGGGTTCTGTTTCAGCTGCCCCAGCAGACAAATCCCAGGAGGCAGAGATCAGGAGGATTGCGATTTGAAGTCAGTCTTAGGCAAACCCCAGTACCATAAAAAAACAGAACACTGCTTCCCATACAATACCAACTCTCTAGGAGTTTCCACTTAAAATCTGTGTTTGCCCAAAAATTTACTAGTAATTCTACTGCTCCAGTTAGGATGGATTTAAGTTTTGAATCATCCAGGACTTAAAACCTAAATGCTTCCAAGCATCAATCAGTTCCAAGCTCCTGGCTTTCTGTGCTGGTACCCACTTCAATTTCAGCCACACCCTTTCTGTGCATGGGCAGGGTGGAGCCTATGGCCCTAAACATAGGTGTTATGGTTGTGGCTCTTTCCCTTCTTCTCCAGGGGCCTCAGGTCCTGGACACTTTTGCCCTCAATTCCTTCTTCCTAGATAAGGACAAGACCTACCTTCTCTGGCAATCTCAGTCCACCTCTCTGCAATGATTGCTGCCCTTGACTGATCACACACAATTTCCCCTAGATTATTTAACAATTGCCACTAACAATGGCATTAATAATGGCAATTGTTAAATAATCTAGACTACACTCCCACACCCTTTGTGTGGAGGAGCACAGGGACACAGTGGACTACAGTGACTAGGCCTGGGGCCAATGACTTCACCCTGCTGAAGCTTCAGTCTCTGAAAACTACCGTTATTAAGAGTCACTGAACAGCAGTGAGGACTGAACAGAAAGGCATGCTCCTACCACGTGGTAAGTGGTCGTGTCTCAACTGGTAACATCCATTATTTTAATTCTTAGAAAATTCCTATGATCTCCTAATCATTTCTGCGTTTGACTCCATCTCTACCATCCCTAAAATGTAAGAAATGCACGGGCATTCAAAATTCAAGCGTTGTTCACTTTCTTGTGTTCATGAACTGATAATTTCTAAATTTATGGAAAAGTGAGGCTTAAGGGCAACGGGGCACATGTACACTACATGAAAACACCTTTAAGGACTTTTTCCCTGTTTATCTTATTTTGCTTCTATTTAATACAAACCCCTAATCAAGGTGTGGTGATACAAGCTTATAAACCCTGCACCCAGGGGGCTGAGGCAAGAGGATCAGGAATTCAAAGAGAACCTGAGCTACACAGAAGAGACTGTCTCAAAACACTAAGCCTGGGATATGGCTCAGCGGTAGAGCACTTACTTGTCCGGCATGTACAGGGTCCTGGGTTTAATCCCAGAACGGAAAACGAAAACAGAACTCAAACCCAGTTGAGAGCTGAACTTCGTTAGATGAGGCAAGGATGCTGCTGCTCCTATTCCCAGACCCGTCTATTTGTAAAATGGGTGTGTGAGGGTCACTTGATGGCGCTCACATCTCCCTGTGGCAACTGCGCTTCTCTTCCAGTGGCCTGTCTCTGCTCCCCACAACGCTTCCCTAAAGCCCTCTCCAAGAGATGTGTTCTTCCAACAGATCCTCACTACGGAGCGCAGGCGGCCTCAAGCTCCCGATCCTGCCTCAGGCTCCCAGGTGCCGGGAGTGCAGGTGTGCCCTGCCACAGCTACCTCCCCAGGAGATTTTAAGTCTCATGGGGTCAGACTGTACCTTCTCCCTTTTATGCCAAGAGAGAAGCCACACAATTATTCTACCTGCGGTGACACTCAGTAAATATTGACGGCCAGGCACAGCAGCTTAAGCCTGTAATCCTGGCTACTCGGGCAGCACAGATCAGAAGGTTCATGGTTTGAGGCCAGTTCAGGCAAAAAGTCCAAGAAACCCCTTCTGAACTGACGGCTGGGCACAAATAGGATCTTGGTCCAGGCCGGCCTGGCACAGTCCCTGAGTTCAACTCCCAGTACCGCAAATAAACAAAAATGCTGGTTAATTTAAGAGACCATTATAAAATATTTCCCCAGCTACTTGTTCCTTCTCATGACTCACTCCACAGCAGGGGTCCACAGCCTACATCATGCAGGCCAAATCTAGCCCATGAGCCAAGATGTTTTTTTAAACAATCCTTAAACAAATGTAAAAACCAGACTATGTGATGCAAACCATGTAGTCAGCAAAGTCTAAAATATTTAGTATTTTAGAAAATCCCAATAGCGCCACTCAAGAACATAACAAATGACTCAAGGTATGCATCTGGGAAATGACCTGGAAGGGCTCTTAAAAGACCGTCAGCCCACAAGACACCTTGACGCAAGCTGTTCCTTTACCCCAGCAATTCAGCAAACTGAACTCCAAGTTCATGATTTTGTAGGTAAACCCCTCAAGGAATGTGCCAACTCTCAAAATCACTGTGGTTGTTACCTAGCCATCCTTGACTCTGAGGAGTAAGTGGAGAAAGAAGTACTAGGAGGTGGAGGCTGTGAGAAAAGTGGTTTAATGTCAGATAGACAAAGTCAACTCACGAAGACATCTCTTTGAACTTAAGATGCTAAAAATGTTACTCACTTTTTTAAATATTTACAATTTTTCTTTTATAAAGTTCTGTACATGAAAATAAATATACAGAAACAAACCCCATCAACTGTCTGCATCAGTAATCCTCACTGGTGGGCTCACCATTTATAAGGAAGACATCATTCAACACATCCTGTCACAGAGACTGTCCTATCAGCAAGGACTTCTGCCATAAAACATCATTCCTGGGCCTCTTCTACCAAAACTGCTAATCAGCTAGAGGCCTTCACCTACCAACTAGCAGCATGAAAATCAACAACTGCAAATCTCTGTCTTTTAGTGGAGTGTGACCTGGTGGCAATGCTTACACCCCATCTGGAATAGTCACAAACAGAAATAAGACCCACCTCCCCTTGTCTAGTCACTGTGAAAAGTGTGCATAAGGCAATTGAATTGAGGTTAAGGGTTCATCTTGCTAATGTCAAAGGCAACACTAACAAGATTCTTAGCTTCATCCGCCAGATGACGGACCCCTGCGTCCGGGTCTCCAAGAGCAGGCTCCACCTCCTTCACCAGTCAGAGGGTTGTAACCTGGCATAAGAGAAAGGAAGCAGAACAGTGATGGCTGAAAACGTGGGAACCGTTTATATCAGAAACATAATTGTGAACCTGACATGCAAAGCATGTTGCCATGGGCTGGAGGCATGGCTCAAGAGGTAGAGTACCTGCCTAGTAAGCGTGAGGTACCGAGTTCAAACCCCAGTACCATCAAAAAAAAGAAAATTCTTCATACCATGATTGCAGGGTTTTTTTGGCTTATCTTTGGCAGCACTGGGTGGGTTGAACTCAGGACCTCACACTTGCTAAGCAGGTGCTCTGCCATTTGAGCCACACCACCAACAGCTTCAACTGACTTTCTGGAGGGCAAAAAAGGAAGCCATTCAGCTTCTTGGTCTTGACTCATCAAACTTAGCCAAAAAAACCCTCTCAGTATGGCCTGATATAAGTAATGAATGCTCCAACTGCAATGCTTAATAAAAGGTATAGAGCAAGGTGCTGAGTTGAAAACCCAGCACTCAAAAAAAATAGAAAAGAAAAAGTCATTCTTGGGCTGAAGACATGCCTAGCAAGTGCAAAGCCCTCAGTTCAAATCCCAGTATTAACTACAACAACAAAGAAAGCATACACTCAAGTAAAAGTTATTCAAGCTACAGAAAATACTTAAAAATGCAAACAGAATGGAACTTGCCACTTTGGAACTTGCCACTTCAGAACTTGCCACTTCTACCAGTCAGAACTGTGTCACCTACATCTTCCCTCCCTCATTAACTTCCCACAGTCAATGGACAACTGGCAACTTGGCCGAGTGTTCAAGCTCTATAGACAGCCATACCTTAAGGGCTGGCCAAAGGTCCTAGCTCAGAACTGCTGCACACTTAAGGGGGTCATGTACAGAAGTAGGTCATGTGTTACATTTTCTATAATATCCACTCCTCTCCTAAACATCACCACTGTGTGATCTGAACAGGCTTGTGGCAATGACAAGTTCTGAAACATTTTCTTTCCAGCTCTGCCACTCCCCTCTGGCCTGCCAACTTTGGGTTCCTGACAGAGGGGATTATAGGCCAGCACAGTCATCCAAGGGACTGGGGGCATGGCTTGAATGGAAGAGGCCTTAATTCAATCCCCAGTACTACCACAAAAAATAAATTAAAAAATTATATAAAGTCAGCTGAGTTTGTGGTCATGCTGCCTATAGCCCATGTCCCAGGCTCCCCTTGGTTTTAAAGATGCAATTCAGGCTCCTGCTGTACCCCTCTCCTCCCATGGAGGATTTGACATCTTTGGCCCAGAACTGACTCCTACAGATTTCTAGTATCTTTGCTCTGTTCTTCTTCAGCATTAACCTAGCCAGAATCACAAAAGATTACTAATTTCCATTTGTGTTTGAGTTGTCCCAAATAGATAAAATGAACGAGATGAAGAGACTGCAATGGTATCTCAGCTACAGTGCCCTGAGCATGCCACACACGGGAAAGATCTGAGTGAATATTTGAAAAAGTTACCTACAGGAAAAAGGCAGCCCTGCTAGCAAGGCCCACCACTGTATTCTAGTCTCAGACTCCTCTGCTACTCACTCGGCTCTCCTCTCCTCTCCTCTCACAGAGCTGTCGTGCATCAGGTGAGTAGACTAAAGTGCAAGCACGATCATTTTAACTGGCTCCTAGTGAGGGCCTGTGTGGTGCCTTGCACCCGTGTCCTTTCTTCACTTAAGATTTAGCCTCAATGAATGGATACTGAAACAATGAAAGAGAATCTTTTTTTAAAAAAATTCTTTCCAGAGTCTTACTATGTAGCCCAAACTGGCCTTGAATTTGTGATCCTCTTGCCTCAGCCTCCCAAGTGCTGGGATTATAGGCACGCACCACTATGCCCAGATAGATAATCTTACTTTTAAAAAGAAAGAAACTATACCCTTTAGGTGTTGAAAATTCCAAATGTCTCACATCACTCGATGCTTACCACCTCCTCGCAAAGGCTTTTTGTCAGACTTCCGTTTGGGGACTGCAGATGAAGCAGAAGGCCCAGGACTGTCTTCCTCCTATTTGAAAACACACAGGCTTAAGAATCAATTAAAACATGCTACTTGGCTCAGTGGCAGGATACCTGTGCAGCACGCAATCCCCAGCACCATGAGGAAAAAAATCCAATAGCATCTACTAACAAATGGATGCTCAGACATTGTCACTGGAGCCAAATCTGCAGTTACCTGAGGCTTTCTTGCATTGCCTCTGTAACTTTTGCCTTCCTGCATGCTGTCCCACATTTCAATCTTCTGTCTCCGTTTGTCTTCTTCGAGCTGAGAAAGAAGCACAATTCAGAGGGCATGCATAAGCTGCCACTGTCTTTAAAGAAAATGCCAATTCTTAGGCCAGCGTGGGCCACTGTGTAGTGAGACCCTGTCTCAGAAAGAAAACAAAGCTATTTTATGAGTTTAAGTCACAAATGGAAGTTTTTTTTTTTTTTTTTTTTTAACACTCTTAACAAAAGCAAAATGTATATGGAAAAAAGAACTATTTGGTTCCGAAATACCCTCATTAGGACATTTTTGGCTACATGGAAGAACTGTGACTTGTACCAGGTTGACCAGCTTTGTCATGACCTATTCTACCTAGGTAAAACCACTAAACCCCTCCCCTTCTCAGGCTCTAAGCATCAGAGGAGAGCAGATTGCAAAGCACTACAAGGTAAAACTGAGTCCCACCTGTCTTAGTTTCTCCTTATGCTTTTCAACTTGTGCATTTAGCTCTTCTTGCATTCTCAAACGAGCAGCTGCTAGGGCCTCTTGTCGCTTAGCAACAACATCAGGTTCTAAAATATCAGAGAAAAAGTTGAAATACAGCATCTTTTATAATATAAAATGTGAACTACTAAGTATTGGTATTACAAAAGAAGGCAGTCTAAGCATCAGAAAATAACAAAGACCCCATGTTTTCACACGAGTACTATTTTGCTGCTGAGGGAAGCCCTTAGACATAGTTCTTAGCCTTAAGCATCCACCTCACCAGAAACTTACAAATGCAGACTTCTAGGCTCTTTCCAGTCAAGCTAATTCAGAAAGGGCAGTGACCCTGCATCTGAAACATCAATGGTCTGACCACAGTGAGATTCTATTATGTGATGTGAATACCTCACTGGCACCCAGCTTTAACGTGAACAGAATTCCAGAAGACACCCAAGCAAAGATGTTTTTGAGTCTTTATCCATCACCTAATGAGCAATTAGGTGACTGAGGCCCAAGCAAAGTTAGTGAGACCTCATCTCAACAAATAGGCTGGGTATGTTGGCTCTGTAGTGCTGGTTTGTTATGCCTGGGGGAGGCAGATTAGGAGGATTGTGGTCTGAGCCCCCCAACCCCCAGCACAAATGGGGACCCCATCTGAAAAATAACCTAAAGCAAAAGGGCTGGAGGTGTGGCTCAAATGGTACAGCACTTGCCCAGCAAGCACAGGTCCTGAGTTCAAACCCCAATACCACCTAAAACAAAAACAAAACAGGAGTGCGGCAGTTTGACTTGTTTTTATCGGGTTGTAAAACAAAGCTCTCCATCACAACCTCAGTACCACAGTAACTCAGATGAGTGACAATTTGTCTTCAATTATTTTGTCCTTCTGGAAACACTCATACACCTTGCAGCTTCTAGCTAGTGAAAACACTGCTGTTTTAAGAGGGAATTGTTTGAAACAACCAAACATAATTGGAAATCAGTCCTGATGAGTAAGCTAGTTAAAAAAAATATCAAAATGGTACGAAGACATCAGGCGGAGTCTCTGGTCACAATGGTTCTAGAGATGACTCAGCAGACAGACCCACAAGTACAAAGAAGGTGTAAGGTTTTCATTTCAATCTATCCTCAAGTTAAAAACCATGCAACAAAACATACACTGAGTGTGCTACTCACCATCAGGCAGGTTTTCCTTCTCATTAAGAAACTCCAAAATATTGCACACACAACCAAATCAAGTTCAGAGGCATCAAATGTCCCCACCCCATACAAATGAACACCATGCACTTGTTACTTTCAGATTAACTTTCAAATATCAAAAGAAGCCACCGCCTTCATTTCTTTGCCAGGCACTAACCCACGGCAGCCTCGGCTTGGTCCAGCTGCCTCTGCCTCAAGGCCCTCAGCCTGGTGGAAAGCTTCTGGAAGACCACGTAGAGAAGCACGCCGCTGAAAAGGATGTACCAGCCATAGGCGGCCAGCAGGGAGCCCACTGAAACGAAGAAAACGGGTTTCAGAAACTGAACATGACACCTCCCCCGTAGAACTCAACAAATAAGGTAGCTCCTGCCTGCAAAACCTTCATGATCTAACGGAGGACGTGATCCCCTAAGCAGTTAAGATATGAGCGAGAAGCGCGACCATTCAGGGACCACTGTGTAGGGCGACTTCTCAACCATCCGAGGAGTCAAAGGGGCGCGAGGCACAGTAGGGTGTTGGGAGGTGAAGAGTTTATCCGACGCAGGATTCCGGGAACTGCATTTGTACGAGTGACAGCGCCAGGTGTTGGGAGGAGAGAGGGAGGGGCCGGAGGAAAAGGCCGAGGGACTCCAGGATCTGCACCCGGAAGGGCATGCAACACGCAAAGTAAAGGACGCCAGCAAAGTCGCTGACGCGGAGGAGGCCTCCACGCGAGGCGCGGACCGGCCACACGGCCTGCGTGCGGCGCCAACGCCCGACTGCCGGCCAGGTCTCCCCGGTCCCCCGTAGGACGCAGCAGAGGACGACCCACCGAACATGGCGGCGCTCCGAAAGCCGGCGGCCCGTGGCCAGCGGCGACTCACCTGTGACGTGCAGGAAGCGCAGCCCCTCCGTCTCCAGGGCCGGCCGCGCGGACAGCTGCTCCCCTTCGCGTTCCATGGCTACCACCGTCACCCGGCCCTGCCGCGTCGCCTCCAGCCAGCCGGCGCTTCCGCTTCGTTCCTACGTACACGTGGCGCACCCCGACGCAGCTGTAGGCCTAACCAATCATAGCTCGACCCCGCCCCGACGCTTGGCCAATCGCAAAAGGGGTGCGCCCGAGGGGCGGGGCGGATCGGGAGCCGGAAGCTTGACGGGCGCTCGCGGGGCGGAGGCTGGTTCTAGCTCGTTTTATGCGCTAATAAGGGCGGATGACCAACCCTTATACTGATTTTTTTCCGAATTTGTAATCTTATGCTGATTGGGTACTGAAGCCAAGGAGTTTAAGGGCCGCCCAGGGTCAAGATTTGCGCTCTCATCCTTGCACCGGGCCCGTTGGATAACAGGGCTCTGTAAATTGGGGACTCCCAGCCATTAAGGGTTGCAGCAAAGGTCTTCCTCCATAAAGGTGTTAAATGCAACATATGGACAGTTTCCTCCTATTTTCAGGCCAAGAAAGCCTCCACCGACCGAGAGGTTTTGATTTCTCCAGAATCAAACCTGTTGGGAAGGGATTATCATAGGAATGGCTCCAACGAGCGTGGAATCATGCTGTGTTTCACCAGACCTTATTTATAAGTGTCCTATTTCCTCTGCCTGCAGTGCTTTCCTCCACCCTCTAACTACTCAAATGCTACCTCTTTTGTAGGGACTGTAACAACCCTATTTGGATTTAACCTTAAGCATTTTTGTTTCAAAAGATGGGTGTCTCAAAAGATGGGTGAGGAATTAGGAATATAAGGTGGAAAAAATGGTAAACAGGTGATGACATCAGAGGGCCATGCCATCCTTGTAGCAAGAAACAGTGAGGAAGTCTTAATCTGATAATGACATACAAATTAGGAAACCTGATGGCCATTGATTTTAAAAAAATCACATCCTGGCCCTCTGACATTAATGGAGGACTGGTGAAATACAGCTGGGGCTTATTGACCTGTAGTGGTCTGATCCCAATGCCAAGGCCAAAACCTCCCCTGCCCCAAATGTGGGAGGGGTTAAGAACACCTAACTCAGTTTCCAGGAATGAATGCTCCCACCCCTGTGCCTGCAGACCCCAATAAAAGCCTGAAGTCTTGGGATCCTCAGCACAGCCTTCCTCCTTGAGCCTGCTCCCTCTTCTGTCTGGAGAGTGTACTTTCAGATTGCTTGGCATTAATAAACCTGCTCCTGCTGACTCCTCCTTGTCATGGCCCCACCTGGTGACCCAGTTTCAGTGACAAGATGAAGGAGTGCCACCAGTATTCCTTCCATTGCTGACTCTTGAGAAGTTCCTCAAGAGGCACCCCTCAAGGGAGGGGTGAGGGGCACAGCTGCCAGGATGGTGCCCTGACTTCAAGTGCAGTGTATTCAAAAAGCAATGAAGGAGATTGCTGTGGTTTGAATATGGTTTGTTCTCTGGAATTCATGCAGTTTAGCCCTGTTTTATGTTAATGATATAAAGGTGAAAAAAATCTATGGTTTTTAGAGGTGGGGTCTTTAGGAAATGATTAGGCCATTAGGGTGGAACCCTTCACCATGACCTGATACAACCAAGAGGTCCCTAGTGCTTGCACCATATCATTTGGACTTTCAGTTGCCAAAACTGAGCTAAATAAACCTTTTTTTTTTTATAAAGTTAGCCTGTCTCAGGTATTTTGTTTCAGTAATGAAAAGCTGATAGAGTTTCCTATTGAAGGACTGGAGCTCATGGGCCATGGCAGAGAAAAGTCTGAAATCTCTTCTGCATCTCATCAGCTACCTTGAAGATGGAGTCCTCAAATCAGGAAACTGAGAACTCTGAATGTTGTTAAGGCTATGAAGACAGCTATTAATTTAATTAATTCAGAAAGGACTGCTCCCCCTCCCCCACCGTTTCATGTTTTCCTCTCACTTGAAGAAAATGATGAACCATCAGTCCTTTTTGGTGCTGGGGATTCAGTCAGAGCCTCATGCAGTTTACCACTGAGGGCTATGCTTTCAGCTCCAACCATCACTCTGCTTTAGAGTGATCTCTCACTTGCTCTAGCTTAATAAATGAACTGGATTTACATATCACAAAAATGCCAAATGTCTACCTAGAGAAATGGGATAAGAGTTTGCTTTAGTTGCCAGTTTATCCATACCATCCTGTAATGTTTATAATCATGAAGATGAAATAGTAAAAATTTCACTAAAAAAAGCAAGAATCCTTTTCGCTGAGACTCTTTTTCTCTAGCACCAAATCACAAAAATAATACATTAAGCATATAAAAAATACCTTTGTATACTATTGGGAACTAGTATGTACAGTATAAAGTATAGTCAACTAAAATTTAATAGATACTGAATTGAGTACACAGATGATAAGCGTTCATTTCAGTTCCTAGTGTGTTGCACTATGGTTCCATTGACCGCTTATTCTTCCTAGCCAGGCTCATGTGTCACCTTTGTCCCTTTAACCAGGTGAAAACTACCTTGTCTAGAATCAGTTATATCAGCACTTGCTCAATGAAACAGCTCAGTTGCTACTTGCAGAAATAGGACGAAGGGACAATATCCAGAACTTCCACCTGTCACTGATCATGTGGACTGACTGACCCCAATTTGTTACTCTTCCTCACAGCCATAGCCTTGTTATGGCCATCATGTTGAAGGAATGAATTTCCCCATCATACTAACTTTCATGTGCTCTGTTGGCTTGCTTTTGCTAATGGCCAGTAGGCAGAAATAATTGCATCAGTTTTGAGTGCAGGCCTTGGGAAGCCCCTAGTGTCTCCTTCTTGACCCTCAGGTTAGCTGGCTTGTCCAAAGAGAATGAGACAGCTAAAGCTAATCCACAGACTTGCAATTTTGAAAAGCAGAGCTGGCTGTTGCTTAAAACTCCCTAGTTTTGAGGTTTTTGTTATGTGGCATCATTGTGGCAATAACTACTGCCAAACCTCACCTTTTCTAGAGTTTAAACAACTAGATGGGATTAAGGGTGAGGGAGATGGGATTAAGATGACAGAGATCTGTGGTTTCTCAAAACATGAATATAAAGCCATACATACATAACCCCTTCAACTGACATTTTCCCAGTTTGAATTCAGGGCTTCACACTTGCTAGACAGGCGTTCTACCATTTGAGCCACTCCACTAGCCCTCAACTGACACACTTGTAGACTTCCAAAGTGGTCTTTATGCTAACTATGTCCATAAAAAGAACTAGGTAACATTTCCTATATTCATTTTTCTTAGAACCTCAAAACCAGGGCATTGACCATAGACGAACACTACAAAAATAATATTTGACTCAGACTTAATGTAGTTGCATGGAAACCACGTTCATTTAGGAGTTGCCACTTGGTATAAAAGTTTCTGGTCTGTGTGACAGAAGTTAATACAAATTAACCTCACCCTATGCAATTGCACACTGAAATACTGGGCTTCTGGGAAAAACTGGGTTGGGGCAAACCCAATTATTTTTGTCCTGACACATGCAGATGGAGGTTAAGCCCCATGAGTACAGGAGCTCATGTTCCTCTAGCCAGTTTGGTAAAATCCTCAGAACAATGGTGCCCATAACTTCACAGGATACCTTTTGTCTTTTTCTCACCGTACCTCAAACAATACAACTGTTCGTTATCAAAGTAGTACTGCTCAGTCCAGATTAATTCAGGGAAATGGCTCAGAACTCAGTCATTGCTAAGTGCCACCTGGGGATTGAATCCAAGGCCTTCCACACCCTAAGTCTGCAATCTACCACTGAGCTACACTCAGCCAAGAGGGGAAGTCATTTTAGTTGTCTATCCTCAGTAGAAGCAACAAGAAACCCTGCATTAACAGAAGGGCTACGTGGGAGTAGGAAAGGCAGCCTCACTGGCCTCTCATTGAAGACAATGGGAAAACTTGAGTCTAATTAAGCCCAGGTTGAAGCAGTCCTGAAGACCGTGGCTTAGCAGAAGCCACTGTTCCTTGTGCTTTTCTTCCCAGTCAGACCATCGGGACCCCATGTCATAATTACTGCATGTGTTGGTATCTTACAAGAATGGCATATTGGTTGATTGTAACCTCCATAAAACATCCAGGGACTATTTAGAAGAGTGTTTTGCACATTTAAAATCACCAGAGGAACTCTTCAAAAAATCCAAACCCAAGAAATCAGAATGCCTAGTGGGGAGTCTGACACACTGGTATTTTAAAAATCCTTCTGTAGTGAACTCCAGAAGACAAGGAATGCAGTAAAGCTGCAGGAGTTGAGGAAATGCCTTGGCCACCCACCAGGGAAGCCATGACTCTCCCTGTGTATTCCCAGACTGCAGGACACTGCTCCCGTGCTCATACCCCACCACCCGACAAGGCACAAGTCACATACCCACCCCCTGTAACTTTTCAAATTAATCGATAGGCTGGCTTCCTTTACAAGCAATTTAAAAATGTAAACAGTAAATGGTAAGGATGCCTACCTAGAAACATCATCCTCCTTCACTTGCAAATTAAGTGCATCTTTGTAGTTCACCGTAAAAAATCACAACATGCAACTTGGCAGCACAGTATGTGGCCTTTATTTTTATTATTTGTAGAAAACGGACATTTAGTTTTCAAAGTTTATATTACCAAAACAAAAAAATCCAAAACAGCAGTCTAACGCATTTCAACAATGCTGACAGATTCCACTTTGCTGACAAGCTGTTAAACCACATTCAAAAAGCAAGATTTGTTCCCAGAGGGTCTGTTACTACACATCTCACACTGCTCAGGACCCGTTTGTAACTGTGTCTTCCTCCATCTCTTCTTCACCATCATCAGTGGGTCCTGAAGAAAACCATAAAACCAGATGTCATGTCAGGCTTACACTAACACAGTCTGTTTGCTTAGTAGGTGGTGGTGAGTGGCTTCTGTGTGCCAGGCACCGGAGTAGGTACACAAGCCCCAAAGCAGAAGCTCAGAAGTCCAGGGAAAGCTTTAGCAGTGTTAGACGGGATGCTCAATTTCCAAGGAAAGGATCACAAAGGTGTTTTATCAAATTCAAAACCACTGTCTCTCATTGCAGTTGGGAATTCATTTTTTTGTGACAGCAAAAAGGTTAGACTTCTGTTTTGCTCTTGCCACCACTATGGGTAAACAAACTGGAAACACTCAGAAAGCATTTGGGCACTCACTACATGCCCAATAAAGGGAATAGTCCGTACCTTTATTGCCTCAATTAGGGAAACGCGGCAAGAACTAAAAGTGTTACATTTGTTAATTGTGGTAGGCTTTTTTGGTCAATGTATTCTGAAAAAGGCAATGTTTTAACCCCATCAGTTGTTTGGGAGAATTACTCATGTTTAAATTGAAATCCAAAGATCAGATTTCTACACAAAAGGCACAAAGAAGGAATGCCTCTGGAAGTTAACTTAGAAGCCCGGCCCATGGAGCTCTAGCAAACAGAACCATGTGCACAGCTAACTCCCTCTCCCCAGTGAATGCCCCAGCATACAGTGGAATAAGCGAATGAATCCAGCAATTCTATCCGCTGCAGGCACAATAAGCAGTTTTGATACTGCCCCTCCCCAAGCTCTGAACCTTGACTGCCTCGGCATGTTTCTAACGTGGCTGTCTACCACCCAGTGAGCCCTGCGTGGGCGTACACTCCCTGTCCTCTCATCGGCCAGTTTCGGTCTTTCACTCCTGCCCTTTCAATTCAAGTGTGTCTCTTCACTGCAGGTGCTGACTGTGCAGTCTCTGTCTAGAATGCCCCATTGCCTTAGTCTAGTTCAGCAGATCCCAAAACTTTTAGGGTGAGGACCTAAGGAACTTTTGTTTCTGTAAATTACATTTACTGACACTGTACCAGAAATTAAAGCAGAGAATTTTGGGGGAGGGTTTTGTTTAGTAGTACTGGGGTTTGAAGTCAGGACCTCACACTTGCTATGTAGGCACTCTTACCACTTGAGTTACACCTCCAGTTCCAAAAGCAGAGAATTTTTTAAAAACAGTAATTCATTAAAACAATAAATCCAATGCATGTTAGCACTTATTTTTTATTTTTTTGCAGCAAGGCCCACACTTTGAGCAACTCCACTAGCTAGCCCTTTTATATTAAGGGCTTTTTCGAGGTAAGGTTTTGTGAACTATTTGCCTGGGCTGGCTTCAAAGTGCATTCCTCCTGATCTCTGCCTCCTGAATGGCTAGGATTACAGGCCCAAATGAACTACTGACGTCCAGCTAGCACTTACATTTTTATAGTGTTTTCAAAAACAAAACATTTAGTGAGAAGACCGACATTACTTTGCCTTATCTCTGTAATGTCTGAATAGGAGCCAGCCAGATGCCTGTATTGGCTTCAGCATTCCATGTTGTTGTTTCTATATTTTGTTTTGTTTTGTTTGAGGCAATTTCTCACTATGCAGCCCACATTGCCTTTGAACTCTCAATCCTCCTGCTTCAGCCTCCTGAGTGCTGGGATTACAGCCATAAACCACCATACTTGGCTAACAGGTTGTTTTGATTGAAGGGTATGAAAATCCAGCTGTAAAAGCATACTTAGGAATACTTCTAGCCTTTATAGATAATTGCAGATATGCCAGAACTTGACAAGTGGTAGTTTCCTTTTTGCTTTTTGTTTTTGAGATGGGACCTTGCTGGATTGCCCAGGCTGATACTGAACTCCTGAACTCAAGTGATCCTCCTGCCTCAGCCTCCTAAGTAGCTCGGATAACAAGTACATGCTACCAGGCCCAGCTTATAAGTGGTAATTTCTTAAAGGTTAATTTGTAGTATGAAGTCTGAACCCTTATCAGTGAACTTTTCATATTCTCTTACTTGAATATTCATTGGTTTATGTTACACTTTGAATGAACCCAATTTGGAAAATGCCAGTTCACTGAGCATGGCAGACAGATCTTCCGAATGCTACATGGTATGGAAAGTCACATTTGCTAATATCTCTACAGACCTTTCCAGAAAATCTTTAAATATTAGGAAGCTGTCAAGGTTACAGCAGTAGATACAAGTAGATACATTCCCAGTCCAAGTTTCCACATTTTAATTTTTGTTTGAAATCTTGAATTTTACTATTGGCAATAACAAATAGTTGTTCTCCTTGAAGGGACAGGTTTACTACATTCACATTAAAAAAGACACCCGCTTCTCAACTGTAAATAATTGAACTAGTGCAGGGATAACACCATCCAACTCAGGTATGCAGAAGTGTTTCAGATGTACCTGTAGTCTGTTATCTACAGTATCACACAGATGTGTACTTGGGGTGATACTGACCTTGGAGACCCCCTAGGGGCCCAGAGACCACAGTGAGAATCACTGGTCTTAAAAAGTCTTACTAATTTAAGTTCTCAGCTCAACTGGTAGCCTGAGGTCTCTAATACATGGGTATCAAAACTTGTAACATGTACTTATTTGAATATTTAAAATTTTATATCGGTAGTGCTCAACATAAGCAAAAACTTGCTCATGTCAACCCTGTGGTACGTACAGTATCTCAGTTCCTCCCAAAACGTTTTGCGGTTGGTACTATTGTTACCTCAAACCTAAAAATGAAAAAATATAACTGAAAATACCTGCCCAAGGTGAAACTAAGATTTGAGTCTCAGGCTGTTTGGCTCTAGAGGCTGTGTTCCTAACCACTAGGTTATACACAGCTGTAGTTTTCATAACAAGGATTCATCCTGACAACTGTACTGTTGAGCAATTCTGTCATTATGTGTTTGTGAACATCAAAGTGTTCTTACTCAAATCTAGATGGCATAGCCTAGCACAGATCCAAACTATAAGGCACAGCCTACTGCTTCTGGGCTATGAACCTGTCTGAATACCGTAATCAACTCCAATGCAAAGGTAAGAATTTATGTATCTAAATACAGACAAAGCACATTAAAAATACTAGGTATAGAAACTTCTCAGCTTTTATGAGACCATGGTTTATATGCAGTGTGTTATTACCAAAAGCCATCATGTAGCACTTGACTGTGTATCTGGGTAAAAGTCCACATGGTTACCTGAGAGTCTGGTTCACTCCATACTATGACATAGTTTTTGCTTTGACTTTTACATATTTACCGTGCCTCCACGCCCGGTCCTACAACCCTGTGCCCTAACTTTATCAAATACTTTCTTATAGCATTCTTCCATCACAGCACCTAAACTATTTGGTCACCATTATGAGCATAACATTTTTTTGGACGCACAAAGAAAAAAGCCATTTTCTGACCTGATCTGCGTTCTCGGCCAGGTATCTGACCGGACTGCAACAACCCTTTCAGCCTCTCCACTTCAGCCAGAGTAGATGCATTTGCTATAGCATTCTGGAAGATAAAAAAAGAGATGGACAATAATTACAGCTAAGTATCAACCAGCTGGAAAATGTCTACAGAAACTCACAGCAACTTTCCATGGAACATTACTTAGTTCTGCACTGAGGTAAGAATTTTATTGGCATATTGGAATCAATCTAGGAATCAAATAATAGATTTTCAAAATTGGTGAAGAGATACAGGCCCTCTTAGAAAAGAGAACAATAATTGTTCTACATGTGCTAAAATTTAAGCTAAGAACCTATTTGGGATTATGTTACTGGAGACCTCAGGAGGCAACAGACAGCACACTAAGGTAACTAACTTCAAAGTGGTAACTTTATCTTGGGAAAATGGAAAGACAGATGCCTTTACTTAACTTGGTTCATGCAATTAATCTAAGTCAAAGTCAGGTGAAATAGTAACCTTAAGCTAGTTTTTCCTTAACAAGAAATATAGCTGGATTCTAACAACTGTGAGAAAATAGAACCGGCAATGTTCAGAGCTTGGCTTGCTGTGCTACTGTGTGTCCTAACCCCATCTCCACTCTCTCCAGTTCAAGGATCTTGATGTCATTACCTTAATCGCTTCTACATCCCCTGGAGATGGCCCACCTTTCTTTTTGTCAGTTGGCAAACCAGCTCCTGGATTAAAACTTGGGAGGGAAGAAGAATGTAATTGTTAAATCCTGATTGATGCAAGTTGCTTCTCTTTTACTTTCAAAAGCTTTTGAAAGTAATTCAACCAGTGTAGTATCTTATCTTTGTTAACAAACTGATACAAGAACTCTCTCCTTCAGAAACACCACCCAATTAATCTTCCTATAGAGAAAGCAGGAAGATACAACATGAAAACTGAAATATAAACTCTGCTAACCTGATGGAAATTTCATGTGACAAATGAACATGGGTGGTCACACACCATGAACTCTCAAATTAGTACCACATTGATCAGTTTTTGGGTTGACTTTGTAGGAGGCAAACTGCCGAACAGTGTTTCTGAAGGTGAAGTAGAGTTAAGTTGGATATCCGTGTCTTACGTTTTGCTTCTCCTGGCAATATCCTTTGCAAGCTGTGCACCCCGTTTGCCCTTGAACATTTTCTCTGCTTCCTGACGCTCCTACAGCAATACCACACACAGAATTAATGGAAATAGGAATACCACATGCATTTAGATGCATTCCTCAGAAAACATGGGAGAGAACTCTCCTGAAGTACTCAGGGCCAGTAAAAACACCAAAAAGCCAATTCCAAGACACAGTTGTCTTGATTCCTAAGGTGAAGTTTCTTGAAGTTCCCTCTCTTAGATTCAAGAAGGGATTCCTCTTGCCAGATGCTGGTGGCTCATGCCTATAATCCTAGCTACTCGGGAGGCGGAGATCAGAAGGATCAAGGTTCAAAGCCAGCCTGGGCAAATGGTTTGCAAAAAACCCTATCTTGAAAATACCCAACACACACAAAAAAAGGCTAGAGGCTCAAGTAATAGAGCACATGCCTAGAAAGTGTGAGGCCCTTAGTCCAAACTCCAGTACTGCCCCCATAAAAGGGGGGGGGTCCCAAGGAGGAGGAAGGAAATCCCACTCCCAATAAAGGGAATAGCCACCCTAACAGACAGAGTTGCTCAAAAATGGATCAAATTAAATTCCTCTTTAGGAATGTAATTAAACAGACAATCCACTGTGTGGTGCTAACATTTTGCCAACATTAGGTAAGAGTGAGAGTTCAAGTCCTATTGTAAACTTAGCTGTAAGTTTTCTTTCCCACATTTTAAATTACAAGCTATTGGTAAAATTTACTCAATTAAGCAATTAAAGAATAGCAAAATAAAGAAAAACCACACAACCTACAGAATAGTACTTACTTTTAGTTTCACTTTCTGAAAATCCAGTACTCTGACTTGTGGAACTTTGTAAATCACATACAGTCTGTAATGCTTCTTATTTGTCACAGGATTTCTTAGAATGCTACAAGAAAAGGAACACCACAATGCTAATCCTGTTCACATCATAGCATTTAAGAGGCCCATTTGATTAGTGTAATGTACTTACAAATCAAGGAAAAGTATACCATTTTTCACATCTCAAAGTCATAATTAACAAGTAACATCAAGGAAACACCAGAAACATTTGTTTTTAAAAGAGACTTTTCACTGACTGACTGCTTTAAAGTCAAGGCTGAGAAAGGTGCTGTTTTAAGGACTTCATTAGTTTTGTTATCACAACAAATAATCCCTGTACCTTAGGTAAGTCAGTGATTTGAGAGATGCCAAAGGGTCCAGATCGCCCTGCAAAAAAAGGGCCACAGGTAAGAATGCAGACACCACAAGCTACTGTTCATCTTTTGAAGTGGAGAGTGTCTTTGGAGCAAATATGTACATCATCTTTTACATATTTTTTTTCTGCTCTGCATGTAGCCTAATACTAGCACATCATAAATACTTAAATAGTTTCTACTAAGTAAACCAAATGCACTTGAGCTCCCTGTCTCAACAGTAGAAGACAGGAATGAACTTATTTCCTATGGCAACCTCAAAATGGCTACTGAGCAATGATTCGGAAAAGAAACCAATGCAAAGCCCATGTGACTCTGGAGCAAGTTGTTTACACAGGGAACCTGAGGCCAGGGTCTTGGAGTTAGGTGGTCTTTTTACTCCTACTTCCCAAGTGTCTGGGAACAGCTTGCTGTCTTTAAGGAAAGGTATCGTTATCCTAAGTCCCCAAATCTCAGATACCTTTTCAAGGACAAGATAAACAGAACAATTAAAACAAACAATGGAAGAAAATAAGAGAGCTTTTGAAGCTTCTCAAATTGTGCCATAAGCCATAGCAGAACAAGATAGCAAAACCAAAAGCTGTGGTCAAAAGCCGCAACCAAATAGAAGGCATGATATTCCCCAGGAACCCTACCCTAGGACTAAGCATGGACATGACTGCAAGAGCTCCAAAACTCATACGGTAACAGCATTTGTGTAGGAAGAAGCACAGGAAGGCAAGGAGACCTGTGATAAACTGAAGAACCAAAAACAAGCAACAGGTGCCCAGTTTGAGAACAGTAGCCCAAGGATCTGCACATTCCACTAACGAGTACAGTAAGTCTGGAGTAAGGTTTGATGGGGCTAGAGCAATTTTCATCCCTTTTTTTGGGGGGGTAGGGGGGCAGTATTGGGGTTTGAACTCAGGGCCTCATGCTTGCTAGGCAGGCACTCTATCACTTGAGCTACTCTGCTAGCCCTTTTTTGTGTTGAGTATTTTCCAGATAGGTTCTCATGCACTACTTGCCCAAACTGGCTTCGAACCTCCATCCTCCTGATCCCTGGCTCCTAAGTAGCTAGTGAACCACCTGTGCCAAGATGGATCCTTACTCTTAACACTAACCAGAAATTATGTCCCTTCCAAGACAAAGCCCTACACTGAAAGAAAACTATTAGGAACAGATTTAAATTGAGTTCACAGGGTCAAGAGGGACAATAAGAAAAAAAACAGATAAAAGCAGGGGCATGCTCATTTCATAGCACATTAAAAGTGGAAGGATACAGAGAAGATTAGCATGGTCCTTTTCAAGTATAAGTTCATGGATTAGTCTACTTTAAAAAAAAACAAAACCGAGGAAGGGGAGCAGGGCTAGTTCTCAAGAAAGCAACAGCCATCTTTACAGGCACTACAGCCTGATACTGGCTTACTATCACTAAAGTTGACCCAAAAAGGAATAAAGAACAAAGACTTTGTTACACATGTACACTAGAGAACGTAATGACATACTGATGGATGTAAGAAAAAGAAAAAATGCAATTAACAAGCTGTGGGGGCGCTGGAACATTTTCAGCTATTATGCTGTACTGTTTAGGTACTGTATTAGAAAGGTACTGGTTAGCTTAAAAAGTTGCTAAGAATAGAAGCACAGAAAATAATTTCTAAACCATTTGAAGGAAAAATGGAATGTCAAAAAGAGAGATACTGTATGAGCTTGCATAGATGCAAAATAAAGTTACACAGAACGGGCAGGACAAAGACTAAGGAAAGAGAGAAGGTGAAGTAGAACATGCCAGTTACACTAGTAAATGTAAATAGGCTTCAAGAGACAAATTAAAAATGTTACAGCCAGCGCTGGTGGCTCACACCTATTATCCTAGCTATTCAGGAGGAAGAGATCAGAAAGATCACAGTTCACAGCCAGCCCAGGCAATTAGTTCAGGAGACCCTATCTTGAAAAAAATCCATCACAAAAAAAGGACTGATGGAGTGGCTCAAGGTGTAGGCCCTGAGTTCAAACCCCAGTATTGTCTAAAAAAAAAAAAATTAAAAGCAAGTTTTGGATGAAAAGATTTATCATGGAAATACTAAGCAAAAGAAAGCTCATCTGGGCATATTATATCAGATAAAATAGAACTCAAGGTAAAACAGCATTCTGATAACCAAAAGATTCAGTTCCCAGGAAGATATTAATAATCTTAAATTGATGTGTATCAAGTAGGATAATCTCAAAATACATAAAACTAAAGGTGAATACATAAAACAATAAAGTTTCTAGAATGCAACAATTTAATCCTATGTCAGAACTGTAATTTAAGATTTTCTACACATTAAATAACAAAAAGTAAAATGAATTTTAATATACTATTTAATCAGTTAACCAAATATTATTTCAACATCAGCATAAAAAATCAGAGATAGTCATACTTTTCTTTAGTACTAAGTCTCTGAAATCTGGCATGTGTTTTATTTACAGCTCTGCATGAAATCAGTGGTACCATACTGAACACTGCAATTCCAGAAAACAACATAGGTTCTTTGTAATCTATAAAAAGGAAAAGGAAGTTTCAACAGAACAACAAAAGCACTAACAATGAAGATTAACAATAAAGATGGATAAATCAGACTACACCTAGATTAGGAACTTCCCACCAAGACACCTTAGGGAGGATGGTGGCTCAAGGCTAGCCTAGGCAAAAAGTTAGAGAAACCCCATCTCAACAAACAAGCTGGATTTGGTGGTACACGGCTGTAATCCCAGCTACAAGGTAATCATAAGCAGGAAGATCAGGAGCCGGCCCTGGGCAAAATCCTAGAGACCCTATGTGAAACATAACTAAAAGCAAAAAAGGATAGAGACACGACTAAGGCGGCAGAGTGCTTGTCTGACAAGTGTGAAGCTGAGTTGAAGCCCCAGTACTGCCAACAAAACCAAACCCCAAAACCAACCAACCAAACAAAACCCACCTAATAAAGTAAAAAGGCAAAGGCAAGCCAGAGTGGGAAAAGATAGCTGCAACACATACAACCCAAAAGGTTTGCCTAGCATGTATTAGGCCCTGGGTTCAATTTCTAGCACAAAAACAAAATAACCTGCAAGGCCCAGATTCTGAAACAATTCAGCAAATGACAAAGAAAGAAAGATGATTATTTTCTGTAAGAAGCATGCAGGACCTTTAACCTTGCTCTCAAATAAATCTCCCCCATTCAACTTACCAGTTCCACAAGACTATTGTTGGTGAGAATGAGTTCTGTCAGACAGGGTAGAGCCTGATCAAGTCCCTCACCTATACGGCTAAAATAAATCAGAAAGAACTTAGTAAAAGTGAAAATTGGGTAAGCTAATAATTTCATATCCATCCTTGATAGGACCTCATACCCCAAAGTTGGAAGAACATTAGAAATCCATCTTCCACACCCCATCTCAAAGAGGGGAGACAAGGCACAAAGAGTAAGCTTTGTCGGAGGTCACAGGCCTTGCGACAGAAGTGGGATGTTTAGAACCCACCTCTCCCCCAACTGCTAGGCCTCTTTCTACTGCCATGTGTCTAGTGGAGCATAAGAAAAGGTGGGACACCTGGGTAGAATCAACTATTTAGCTCACTTCTTGACTTTTTTGTTCAGAAAGCACAGAAACACAAGTGATGCTCTGTTGACAGCTTAGGTACAAGATGTGTAAGTGGATCACAAGAGGATAGTTAACCTATGAAAACTATTTCTATCTAAAACCTCCACACTCCCCAATAAATACTTATAGATGTTATCTATAAACCTTCAGGAACTTTTTCCAGTGAAATATTACAGAGCTTATGAAAGGAGGTCAAAAAGTATCTCAATTTCAGTAATTTACATTCTAGACACTAGCTGTAAGGAAAAATACAGGCATGGAGGCTCAGTGAAAAATATTCTATTTTATGTAGCTTTAAAAAAAATTTCTTATGTATAACCTTTTTAATATGATCTTTGATAACTACTTTAGAAGCTGGAAAGTGTACAGAATATGGCAGCATGTTTTCAACTTAAATTATAAGCTTACTATGAATATGCAAATAGGACTAGACCCAAAACCAGATTAATCTCTAGATTCTATGGAGAAAGTGCTATTCACTTCTCATTTTAACAAGAAACATGTAGGTTTAACAGGAAGGATGTACTACAACTTCCTCAGGGCACCCTGCAATACTTACTCCAGGGAACAACTGTTCCCCAGAAGCAGTCACTTACCATATTCTGTTGTTGTTCACTAACAAAGTTTTCAGTCTTCTCAACAAGGGAAAACCATCCAGTTTCCTGATCTCATTGTCAGAAAAATCAATAGCATCAAACTGGTCTAAGGTAGCACCTAGATTTTCAATGACAGGAATTTTATATCCTAAAAAATGGAGGGAAAAACAACACATGAGAGATGTTAATATAATTAAAAGCCTGCTTAAAATTGTGTAGCAGCATTTCATGGTGCAAGTATTCACCTATGGCATGTACCATGTCAAACACTGGGCAAGGTACTGAAGGTAACCATAAATTAGTCACTATCCCAGGGTCATAAAGCTTATGATCTAGTGGTGGACCTGAAGCTGAAGATGGCAAAGACAGTGATGATGGGCATACTTTACTAGGAGAACTAGTGGTAGTTAATGTTGCTAAGAACATTTACAAGGTGTTTCACACTGTTCTTGCTGGAGCAAAACAGCAATCCACAGTTTAGCTGCTTATCCTTAAAGCCTAAGTCTTGTTCAGTGCCTGGGGACGTCAGTTCTCAACCTCTGGCATTCCCACCAGCCAGATTCATGGAATCCATTAACACTTTTCCTTTACTTCACCCCCTCCAGCTCCAATTTAGAGTTGAAGGTCAAAGATGTCTACACAAAAAGACAAATCACACTGTGAACAATTCACTCAAATACTCACTTGGCTTATCTAACTTGGGCCTAATTATTGTGCAAGGTGCTAGAAGAAAAGAAATGCACCCAATCCAAATTAAAGCACACAATTCAGAGCTGAAAGGACCGCATCAAAGAAGTGAGTCAAAATACGTCTTCACGCCCTTCAGACAGAGCACGGGAGACGCTCTGGATCGCACCCTCCTCTGAGAAACCGCATTTCAACCAAGCAAAAGCCCTGGGATTTCCCAGGCGTCCGCTCTAAGAGACTGAGGTTGCCTGGGGCCACGGTCGCACCAGCTTATTCCAGGAAAGTAAAGAGACTTTACACCGCCTCCTAAAATGCTAAGCAGGTAACTGCACTCTCATTTTCAAACTTCCGTTTCTTTTTACTAAGCCTCTCTGAGGTCAAAACAGCTACAGGGATCTGAAGAGTTGGAGAGCTTCCACCGTGTAAAGAAATGGAAAAAAAAATCTTCGTAAATGGGAAATAGCAGGCAAAGCCAGTAAGAACGTAATAGGGGTGGAGGAGTCGCTTTTGTTCTGAGACTTTGTTTCCTCCCTCCACCAATAGGGGAAAAGAACCCCGAGTCTATCTACTCTCACGATATCTAACGTGTTTATCGAGAACCAACCCGTCGCCCTGCACTACGGTTACCGCCATTAATACATCCTCTTCCCCGACCTCCAACACTTTAGGCTGCAGAACGCGTAGACAAGGCAGGACGTGAACAAAAATCACGCCCGGGTGGCCCTGATTTCAGGCCGACGGCCAAGCTCCGGCGTCGGCGCACGCGGCCGGGCGCGGCTATGGAGGCCCGGGGAAAGCCCGCCCGCCTGCAGTCCCGGACTCACCCCGGAGGTCCAGCTCGCGGTCCCGCACAGCGTTGGTGTACTGCGCCGCCTGCTCGATCAGTTCCGCCGTCAGCTTCACCATCCTGCCGCCTCCCGCTTCCCCTCACCGCCGCTGCCCGCCCGCGGCCGCCCGCCAGCGAGCCGTCCCAGCATGCCCCGCGGCGTCCCAGCATGCCCCGCACGAGGCAGCACCAATCGCAGCGGGCGAGTATGCGCTCACAGCTCGTAGCAGGCGGAAGCAATCGAAAGAGCCACGCCCCCGGGCTCGTTCTCGCCGGAAGTCCTGGCGCAGACTATGGGACCGTCTTTGCTTCCGAGTTCTTTGCAGGGCGATTGATTCCCCAAGTTACACGAAGCGCGTCCGACCCGGAACCCGCACCCTAAAGTTTGTGGTTAGACCTGCGGCCGGTAGACATTTAAATATTCAAGTTAAAGTATGCCGCTCCTCAGAAACCTGCCACGTGACGGATGACCCCCAAAACGCTGTTCTCAAAGTCTCTGACCCCCGCCGCGAACCCAGTATCACACAGTAGTTTGTTTGCTTTTGATGCAAATAGAATCATGCAGTATGCTTTGTTTTGGGTTTGGTTCTCTTGTTATTGTTGCAGGTTTGTTTGGGTCTTAATGATGTCTGGAATCCCTCCAAGTTGCATACAGCGATGGTTGGTTGGTTTTCACTGCTGTAGAGAATTCCATTGTGGATCTTATACCGTAACTTAGCTATTTAAATGTTGGTGGACGTTAGCGTTGTTTCCAGTTAGGGGCTGTCCTGAATTATGCTGTCGTGGGTTTTCTTAGTCGTGGATCTGAAGCACAGTTGCATGAGTTTCAATAGGTAAAGCCTAACAGTTATGCTAAAAGGTTGGTAATTTACACGGTGCAGGGGTGCGCAAGGGTGTTTATGACTTCCAGCCTCAGCCTCACTGGCACTGCCAGTCTATGGTTTTATTTTTTTCTACTGCATCAGAATTCATAACATGCTATTATTGTCACAAATTATTGTTATTGTTACTATTATGAATTACTGTTATTTTGGCAGTACTGGGACTTGTATTGAGGGCTCATGCTTGCTAGGCAGGTGCTCTACCACTTGAGCCACTCTGCCAGCTCTTTTTTATATTGGGCATTTTCGAGATAGACTGTTGCGAATTATTTGCTCTGGCTGGCCTCAAAACTTGATTCCCTGATCTCTGCCTCCTGGGTATCTAGAATTACAGGCGTGAGTCCCGGGCCTCTGACCAGTCTATGGTTTTAGTGATTCTGACGTTGAGTGTGTAGTGGTGTTAGACTATTGCTTTGATTGCTTTTCTCTAATAGCTAATCAGAATAAAAGCCTCTGTGTGTGTGTGTGTTATGATTTATTCTGAGGTGCTCATTCAAGTCTTACCCATTTTTTTTCTGTTGCTTTTTGTTTCTTACCAATTTGTGAGATTTCTTTATGTAGTTTAGATATGAACAGACTATATAAGGCTCTCTGTGGCTTGCCTTTTCACCCTTTCTGGTGGTGTTTGGTGATGAGATATTTCTAATCTTTTAGGTAGTTTAACTTATCAATTCCTTTAGAGTTATGGGTTGTGTATATGTCATGTGTGTGCAGCTTGTTTAAGAAATCTCTTTTTTAGGATTGGTGGAGTGGCTGAAGTGGTAGAGTGTCTGCCTAGCAAGTGGTGAGCCCCTGAGTTCAAACCCCAGTACCACCAAAAAAAAAAAAAACCAAGAAAGATAATGAAGAGATCTCTTTTTTAGACCAGGCATGGAGTGCACATCTGTAATACCACCTACTCAGGAGGTAAAAGTGGTCAGATAGCAGTCTTTGGCCAGCCTGAGCAAAAAATAATCTGACTCTCTCTGAAAAATAATTAAAAGAAAAAAGGGCTGGGGATGTGACTCAAGTGGTAGAGCACTTGCCTAGCAAGTGTGGGGCCCTGGGTTAAAAAATTCCACTACTGAAGAAAGCAAATCTCTTTATGAACTTATATTTAAGTTCGGGGTTTGAACTCAGGGTTTCTCACTTCCTAGGCAGATTCTCTGCCACTTGAGCCACACCCTCATCCCTCTTTTACTTTAGTTACTTTTCAGATAGAGTTCCCTCCCCTCCCAGCCTGGATGGTGATCCTCCTACTTACAACCTCCCAGGTAGCTGGGATGACAGATAGACACCACCAGGCCCAGCTTATTTTGTTGAGATGAGGTCTTGCTAACTTTGTTTTGCCTGGGCTGGCCTTGAACCATAATCCTCCCAAACCTCCACCTCCTGAGTAGCTTCAGTTACATGCACCTGGTTTTAATTGTGTCTTTTGATTAACAGAAGCCATTAATTTTAATACAGTCCAATTTATTCACTTTTCTCCATATGCTGTATGGTTTTTGAGTGCTCTTTAAGAAATCTAGCGGGCACTGGTGGCTCACGCCTGTAATCCTAGCTGCTCAGGAGGTAGAGATCAGGAGGACTGTGATTATAAACTGGACTGGGCAAATAGTTCGCAAGACCCTATCTCAAAAATATGCATAACAAAAAAGGGCTAGTGGAGTGGCTCAAGGTGTTGACCCCGAGTTCAAACCCAAGTACCGCCAAAAATAACCAAAAACCAAAAAACAAATCTTTGCCTATCCCCAAGTCATGAGTATTTTCTCCTAAAAGCTGTATTGTTTCACTTTTTAGATCTTCAATTTGTCTGGAATTAATTTTTGTGTGTTCTTTAAGGTAAGGACCAAGATATGTTTTTTGTTTTTTTTCCTCCAAAAGGAAATTCAGTTGACTGAATACCATTTATTGAAAGGGCCATCCTTTCCCCACTGCTCTGCAGAGCCACTCTTGTCATAGATCAAGCGCCCAAACACTGGCATGTCTGCTGATGGACTAGCTGTTCTGTTCTATGGGTTTAGCTGGCTGTTCTTGCATGATACCTTCTATAAAAACATGACATCCTCCCCACAAAAGGCTGATGGCCGTGGTTATTTTTGCCCTTTGCATTTCAATGTAAGTCTTGGATACATCTTATATTTTAAAAAATACCCATACTTTTATTTGTATTAGATTGGATCTGTGGGTGAATGTGGAGAGAACTGATATTTTATAGCGTTGAACATGCCAATCCATGAACATGGTATAACTCTACTTATTTAGGCACTGTTTAATTTTAGGAGTGTTTTATAATTTTTGTATAGAGGCCTAATATATCTCTTACAAGAAGTCTAGCTATTTGACAGTTTATAATGCTATTGTAAAAAGTATCCTTTATTTAAAATTCCATGTTCTAATCATTACTTTCTGGTGTACTAAAATAATGTGGATTTTTATATATTGGCATTATATCTAGCAGTGTTGTGGCATTTACTTCTTAGTTCTAATAGTTTGTAAATGTTCATTCAGATTTTATACAAATATAACTATGCTGCTTGAGACTATCAGTAGCTGAAATATCACATGGTATGCCTCTGAAAATGTTATGTGTCAATTAAAAAAAGAATAAGGACAGTTTTATTTGTTCCTTCCCAGTTCTTATACTGGTTCTTTATTATTTTTTTGCCTTGTTGCACTGGGATGTTTAGCACAGTTTTTGTTTTTTGTTTTTTGGTTTTTTTGGTGGCACTGGGGTTTGAACTCAGGGACTCATGCTTGCTAAGCAGTGCTCTATCACTTGAGCCACTCTGCCAGCACAGTTTTTGAACCAGTGGTAACAGTGAGCATCTTTTAAAAGATAGTTTCATAGCCAAGAAAAAATAAACCTCAATCAAGTGATCAAAGTTAATGTCACCAGTAGTAAAGGAAATTGAAATCTTGTGCACCCCCTAGAATGCAGTGACAAGAAAAGAATCACTTCTGTGAGGTCTCTGTTCAAGATTCATGACCTGAATGCAAACATGAGGAAACCTCAGAAAAATACAAATGGAAGGACATCCTAGAAATAACTAGCCTGAAAGCTGAGCGCTATCATAAATACCTGTAATCCCAACTTCTTAGGAGTTGAGTCAGGAAAATTGTGAGTTTGAGGCTAGCAGGAAATGAATCAAGATCCTGACCTGTCTCAAAGGAAGACAAAAAACAAAACTGGTATGTAGTCTGTAGGGCATGAGAGTCAAAGAAATATTGAGGAACTGTCCCAGGGTGAAGAACACTGAGCCAAAATGACTAAGATGACCAAGTGCAAAGTGTGGCTCCTAACTGGCTCCTTTTGCCAACTGCATTCCTGGTGCACCTGGAAGAAATGGGATCCAGTCAGAGGGGTAGATGGGTTAGATGATGGAGACATCTGTCAACCTCCTGATTCTGATGGTTGTGTATAGTGATACCCTTTACTTACATGAAACACTCCAGTGTTTTGGGGATGACAGGATATCACTTCAGAAACTTATCCTCAAATCGTACCATACTCACCACTTTTCTGTAATTTTGTTTTGTGGTTGTTTCAAAATAAAAAAGTTAAGCCGGGCACCAGTGGCGCACACCTATGATCCAAGCTACTTGGGAGGTTGAGATCAGGAAGACTGTGATTTGAGGTCAGCATGGGGTGTGGTGGGAATAGTTCATGAGACCTCCATCTAACCAGAGAAAAATGGATTGGAGGTGTGGCTCAAGCAGTAGAGCACCTGCTTTGCAAGTACAAAGCCTTGAGTTCAAAACTTAGTCCCACCAAGAGAAAAAAAAAAGTTAAATCAAAATCCAAACTTCAGTTAATTCCAGAGATGACCACCAAGTGGAGACCTTGAGCCAGAGACCTGGTTTTACTTGGCCCTTTGCTGGCTTTCAAAAAAAAAAAAAAAAAAAATCAAGGAGAAGCCTGGTGTGGTGGGGCAAGTTTGTAATCCAAGCACTCAGGACACTGAGGCAGGAGGATTGAGAATTCAAGCCCAGCCTGGGCTACATAGTGAGCCCTTGTCTACAAAAGAAAAAAGTGGAGAGAATATTTTTTGTTTTATTTATTTTTTTACTGGGGTTTGAACTTGGGACCTCACACTTGCCAGGCGAGAGCTCTACCACTTGAGTCACTCTGCCAGCCATAGTTTTTATTTTTAAAAGAGAAAGTTTGTTTCCCTTGCTTATACACACAGTCAAGGACAGAAATTAAACCACAGGCAGCTTTATTCATTTTATGATATCTCTATGAAGTTGTACACAGTTTTCTTTTTGATTCCACTTGTTTTGACCAGGATTTCTTAACCTGAGGACTAGTGACATTTGGGCTGCATAGTTCTCTGTTGGGGGCTGTGCTGGGCACTGCAGGATGGATGTTAGCAGCACCCCTGACCACTACCCACTAGATGTGATTACATCCCTCCAGCGCCCAAAATGCTTCAAAGCTCTCCTGGAAGACAAAAACCACTCCTAGTTGAGAACTACTGTTTATGACAATATGATGTTTTCCGCTCAGGGACTTTGGTTCCTGCAGTCTCCATAGAGAGGCTAAGGTGTCTTGTCACTCTTACTATGGCTAGTCCATAGTGGTGGAGGGGTTTTGGATGGTGGGACCTACCTGATCCACAGGACCTGAGGCAGGTGCTCAGTGGTGTACCACCTAAGGGTGCTGTTCTGTATGCACAGATAAGTCACAGAGCCTGAGGTGTCAGGAAAGGCCTTAGGCAGTCAGTGAGGAGCAGAAAGAAAGCAGCAGCGGAGGCCAAGGACAGGACATACACTCCTCCTTTTCCCCAGCAGCAAGCACCCACTTTCCTTCCAGCTGGTTGGGCAGAACTTAAAGATGCTGAGACATAGCCATGGTTACATTACTTTCCATTGCATGTCTGTAATTCTAGCACTTGGGAAGTTAAGGCAGGAGGATCTTGACTTCAAAGCTACCTTGGGCTTTAAAATTTTAATTGTTAAATTTTAGGGCAGGCTGGGCTACATGTTTCTCAAAGCAACAACTAATCCTCACCACCACCACCACCATCATCATATTAACAACGTCCGTTTGCACTTCTCTACCTCCTCTGCCCTCTAGCTGTATTATCAGTGATGCAAAGGCAGTAAATGGTGCTCTCCCCAAGTTCAAGGCCACTCTACTCCTGGATATACTTTCCATGTTGTCTTTTAAGTTTTTAAAGTTCTGTTCAAGTGCTGGGTGCTGATGGCTTGCGCCTATAATCCTAGCTACTCAGGAGGCAGAGCTCAGGAAGATCAGGTTTGGAACCAGTCCTGGGCAAATAGTTGGTAGACCCAACCTAGAAAAACCCATCATAAAAAAAAGGGGGGGTGGGGGGCTGGTAGAGTGGCTCAAGGTGTAGGCCCTGAGTCCAAACGCCAGTATAGCAAAAAAGAAAAAAAAAAAAGTTCTGTCCACTCACCTTTCCATTAAAGGCCAGTCTTCTGTAAAAGTGCTGAGTTCAAACCCCAGTACCATAAGGAAGGAAAAAAAAAAAGACCTTAAAAGTGGCCTGGGAGGGATGGGGATGTATACTTTGAGGTGCCGAAGAATTTGGGAACAAAGTCAGAAAACTGTCAGCAAGGAAGTTAGTTGAATGCAAATGTATCATGGTCATGTCTGGCCAGCTGCAGCATGACAGACCTGTCGACAGCAAGCCTCCTCCCCAGGCCCAGGGACAGGAGCAACTTTGCTAGTATGTGGTGTAAGGCAAGTCATGTTCCTCTGGGAGTCAGTGTCCCTGCCTGGAAAATGACAGAGTAGAGATGATGATCCATGATCTTGTCACATAAAACAAAATCTGTAGACATATCCTCATACCTTCCCAACAGAGTTTAGAGAGTCTTTACCTTGAGGCTGGGTCATTTGCGGAGAGGTATTACATGTGGTCAGTCTTTTGTGGTGGTGATGGTAGTGGTGCTGGGGAAGAACCCAGAGCCTAATGCATACTAGGCAGGTGTTCTTCCATGGAGCTACAGCCAGCCCCACTCAGTCTCCTTTACATTGTGTGGAGTCATTAGGGCTTTGTCAGTAGCTTCTCAGCTCTCCACCCAGGATGGGTAGGCCCAGCCATCGTGAGGAGGGAGGGGAACAGTGCCCCTACCCTACCAGGTTTTGTTTTTCCTTAGTTCTACTTTGTACAGTTACTTTATCAACAGCTGAAGGAGTCTAACAAGTACTAAGCTTATTTTTTTTTTATTTTTTGCAATACTGGGCCTTGAACTCAGAGCCTACATCTTGAGCCATTCCTCCAGCCCCTTTTTGTGATAGGTTTTTTTGAGATAGGGTCTCGCAAACTATTTGCCTGGGCTGGCTTTGAACTGTGATCCTCCTGATCTCTGCCTCCTGAGTAGCTAGGATTACAGGCACCCAGCTAAGTACTAAGTTTTGACCTCATAGGCCGTGGAAAACCTCACACTATGATTCTAGTCCCTGTGCAAAAGACAAGCTGTACCCCAATTAAATAATACCTGGCAGCTATAGATGGGGAGGCTCACAGTCCTGTTACCCTGTATCAGGGGAAGTTCCAGCCCCTTCGCCCAACGGAGATTTGGTAACTCAAGGAAGGTTTATGTTCTACAGTTGGAGCTCTGGGATTTTCTCCCTGTATGTCATTTGGTCCATTTTGCTAAAACTCAAAGACCCTCCATGTAAGGACACCAAAGAGATCCCCAAACCACAAAGCAATGTCCATGTCATGCACTGGTCAGCATCCAGGTTTAAGGCTTTGTGCCTTGGAAAGAAATACAGGCTCCTTTGTCATGAGATGTTAACTCTTTTTATTAATTTAGGGTTAACTTTGTGTTTGTTTCACTGATTTCTTTCTCAGAGTTGTGGATTCAATAGACAACAGCTGGGTTTACGCCAGCTTACATGTGACAAGGTGATGCATTATAGTCAAAGAGGGGGTGCAGGACAACACAGACAGAGATGAGGTCGAAAAAATTTAAGGCAAATGTTATTCCCGCATTAAAGGGAACTAATCAAGCAGATCTGTGCATTTCAATGAAAATATATGAAATATTTGTCAAAATAATTAATGTCGGTAAAAATTAGAACACGTAGCTTATAAAAGGCCTACACAGGTTTGGCAGAAATCAATCCAGCTGTATCATGTAGGCTCTGAATATACACAGACACAGGAGCATCTGCCTGGAGACCGAATCTCCTGAAGAACGGGGCCAAATGTACTTTTTAAAAAGTAATTCTGCAAAATGCAAAGGGATGAGAATAATTCGTAAGCTGGCTTTCCATTTTGTTTGGAGGAATTGCTTGGTTGTGGAATGCCTCCTTCGGACCCTCCTGGAAGGTTCTGTTCAGGCTCTGGGGATTCAGAGAGACACAGTCCCAAGGACTCCTGGCTCCCTTGGAAGGAGAACACTGAAGGGAGAGGACAAGTCTTCTGGCCTGTTTGGTATTGGATCCTCTGCCACTGAGGTTTTCAGGTTGTTGGCTACAAGGAAACCAGATTTCATCCCCAATGATCTCATATCTTAGGCCCCAAAACTATTTTACTTACAGTCTGACCAAACCGTCCCCCAGGCTGCGCAGTGCCAGGTGGGTGGAATGGGCCCTTTATCACGTGGGAGGATGGCACAGCCCAGGGTCCTGCCACTGCACAAGTGCACAGGAGGACCATTTGTGATGCCAGGTGCCTTTCTTTCTGCTTTGGTCTTGAGGATTCAGTAAACTTAGTGTCCTAGAAGCTGCTCCAAAGCCAGAGCTGTGGATTCATGGAATTCATTTTGTTCCCGTTTTGAGTTCGCCAGAAGACTGTGCAGCCAGCAAGCGGAATTTGAAGGGGTAATGCTGTGTGAGGAGCACGTCCTTAAGGGCCACCATGCACCTGGTGTGGATGCCCAGGCACGCGCAGAAGTACTTGGCTCATGGGGACATAAAGCTGTCAGATGCAGGGCACTGGCCCTGAATCAGGCTCTGGCCGACAGTCTGTAGGAAGGTGGATGGACAGATAGGTGGACAGGAGAAGCCCTGCCATCTGTAGGCAGCTGGTGCCTCTAGCCGGCCAGGAGGCACGTGCGGCAGCAGAACTGGATGAAGAGCTTCCGTTCACAGAGCCGGTTGGACTTCACCATCTCGCAGAAGGTCTCGTCAGCTGGGCCCCAGGGCAGGATGGGAAGAGAAGGGAAAGGTTAGTGTGGCCTACTAACATCATTTCCATCATTCCACATTTGCCAGACACCAGTGGTGTGCCAGGCAGGGGGTACACGGAGCCTCTTGTAATGTCCCTCACCACATGAGCCCACTGTGGCAGAGGTGGCACCTGGTGTATAGGGCTCTTGCTGAGTCTAAGTGACAGGGACTTGTGAGGGGATTTGTGAGTGTCTGGGGGAATGCCCAGACTAGGCCTGGGGGCCCCTTGGTGCACACATGAACCTGTCTTTCTGGACAAATGTGCTGGTGGGGGCTTAGGAGGAGAATCTGGGGGAGCAGGCGTGAGGTTCTGGATGGGGTGGGGATGTGGACTGCTGCCATGGTCTAGGGACATTCCAGCTGTGAAAAGTGGGGTGGGAAGAAGAGTGACATTGAGGCACATGGGCAGGAGTCATTGACAGCATAGTTTTGGGCTAGGGGAAGAGCAGTGGCACATGTCCTGGGCACTGCACTGTCACTAGAGTGCGCTGCCATTAGTGGGAGGGTCTTTGGGGACCCTCCTGAGGAGGCCTCTACATAACTTGAGCAGGTGACCTCCTAAACAGGAAGTGTCCTGGCCTTTGAAAGGGCATGATTCTGCAAACCAAAAACGAATGGACCTAAGGCAAGGAGGTCCCTTGTGGTCTGTGGGATGTTTTCAGAACACTCTCTGTGGGCTCTGCACTCTGCCAGGGAAGAGCAAGGCAGTGCCAACTTTATGCCCAGGGACCACCTGTCCAGCCTTGGACAATGTGGAGGTGGGTAGCCCTTCTCCTTCATCCCAGAGCTGGCCCCATCCTGCTGCCTGCTGAGCTCAGGGCCTCCTTCCCTCCCACAGCCCAGCTGTTCCTGTACCAGGCCTCCAAGACAAGAGTCCAATGTGGACTTCCCTCTTGTCTGGAACCCCCAAATTGTGCACCATTTTTGGTTCCCTTCTGAGTTTCTGCTTTCAAAACCTGTCCTTGTCCCCCCAGCCACTGGAGAACCAGGGCTTTCCCACAACACAGATGTAGAACCTTCTGGTGGGCAGCTGGGATTTTTGCTGCCGAGCACAGGGCTCTACTCTGGGTTCTGTCCTACTAGTCCTGAGACTGAGACACCCGCTAGTTTTGACCTCCAAGGTTAGACACTCCTACAGGGAAGGTGCCACCCCCCAGGGCTGCCTGGAGCCTATGCATGAGAATGAGAACAGTGTAAGAGCAAAATTGTGTGTGTGTGTGTGTGTGTGTGTGTGTGGTACTGGGGTTTGAATTCAGGGCGTATACCTTGAACCACTCCACCAGCTCTTTTTTGTGAAGGTTTTTTTTTTTTTTTTTTTTTTGAGATAGGGTCTCATGAACTATTTGGCTGGCTTCGAACTGCGATCCTCTTGATCTCTGCCTCCTGAGTAGCTAGAATTACAGGACTGAGCCACTGGCGCCCAGTGAGCAAAATCATTTTTAAGAGTAACTCAATAAACTGACCAGCAATGGCTTCTCTGGTGGCCTATCAATACATGAGAGAATATGGGGCCTATAGGAGCCTCTGATGGCCATGAAATCAGAGGTCATTGTCTGCTCAGGGTGCAGTCAGGCCTGCATTTTCTTCCCTTTTCTCTTTTGACCAAGGCCAGTGGGCAGACTCCTTCCCCCCAGGACCATCCTAGCAGCACTCACCATTGCTGCATGTATGGTTGGTGATACAGGAGGTCCCCAGCTGTGTGAAGCCTGTCTTACACCTGCTGCAATTCCTGCTGGAGCCCTCGCAGCTCAAACAGTTCTCATCACACCTGTGGAAAGACATCAGCTCTTGCATGGCCTCCCCCAAACCTCTCAGCTTTGGTCCTCTGTGGAGAGGCTGCAACTGTGTCCCCAGAATGCCCTGAAACACAAGCCAAGTGTTGGTGCATCCTTCCTCCTGTCTGACCCCTCTTACCGTGGAGGTTGTGGATGGACGCCGCCTGTTGGCAGGGCAGTCTCAGGAGTTTTTAGCCAGCCAGAGTCTCTGACTCTCCCTAGGGCTCACTTGGACACCTTCCTGGACACTGGTGCTCACACCACATGTGGCTTCCAGCTGTGATGGCTGTAAGTTTGGGATTGGGGCCAGACTCTACCCATGGAGGTGATAAACCTGACTTTGGAGCTGCAGCTGCCCACGTGACTGAACATCCTTGACCACCATGGCCACTTACCCCAGCGGGGTGGGGATGCCCTTACAACTCCTGCCCCTCCTGGACAGTCCTGGTTCAGTGATGGACCAGGGCCCTGTCGCATGACCTGAGGGACAGTACAGGCACCCACAGTCTAGGGCCACATCCAGCAATTTTATCAAATGTATGCTGTTCATTTACACATGGTTTGCAGCTGCTCTGTGCCACTGTGGCGGAGATGAGTAGCTGTGACAGGCAGAACAGCCCCCAGAGCCTGAACTTACCAGCTGGGCCTTTAGAGATACAACTTGCCTGGGGCCTGAGTCTGCATGACTCCCACCTGGGACCATGTGTGCACCTGTGGTCCCTGATGCCTCTTCCAGCTCCAGATGACTGGGTCTCAATAGTGTCTTCTGTCTGTTGCCCACCTTCCTGGTCACTGTCAGCTAAGGGGGAACAGACCCCATGGGTGGAGCTCGGAAGCGGTGGGCAGGGCATGTGGGGTGGGAGCCTGGCTCGGGGATTCCTGGGCCTACCCTGTGGGTTCCATGCCCTCCAATGGGGTCTAGTCTGGGCTCTGTGCAGCTCCCCTCAGTCTGGGCAGGAGATGGGTTTTCATTCCTAGTGCGCCCAAGGATGCCCAAGCTGGAGGTCAGGCCCCTGGCTCCTGGGCATCAGTGTGTAGGCCCTGCAGGTGAACCTTACGTTCAGCCTTTCCACCTCCTCCCCTGAAACGGTGATCTGCCCCTCCCCACGCTCCCACAGAGTGCAGGAGGGAGGGATGGGTGACTATGGGGGATCTTTGCTCCTGATATCCTTTTGAGAAGCCCACAGGTCTGGTCCTGCCCGGGTCACATTGCCTTCTAATACTCATCCCTGAACCTTCTGCCGCCTTCTGGTAGCCTCGCCATAGGCCTCCAGTACTACAGCATAGGGGATGATGTTCCCCTGGGGTCCCTCCTGGCATTTCTCACAGATGTGCACAGCAGTGAGATGGGAGCCATTTTAGGGAATTCCAATAAGTGTCAGGGAGGCCCGGGGGCTAGCTGCTCCCAGGGTTGCTTTCACCCTGAACAACTGTGGTGTGCAGTGGGCTACAGTGAAAAACCAGCAGGGCACAGTTTATCTCATCTTTACCACATCACCAGGCTGGGTGGGATGGCAGGAGTCTTGGCTTTCTGTTGCTGCATCACAAATGGCCAACAAAACAACACCCCCATCCGTAACTCCCAGACCTGTGAGCAGAAGCCCAGGCAGCTCAGCGGGTCCTCTAAGCAGGCCTCACCTGACCCAGGGCACTGTGGTGGCCTGTCAACCTCTCATCTAAAGACTTGGGAGGAGATGTCATTACACCCTGAAAGAGGGGTGATGCCCTCCACAGTCCCCTTTCCCTGTTGCCTCCTGGGTCTTGCTTCCTTCCAATAGGGTTCTGTGCCAGCAGGTGCCCAAGGCAGGGGGGCTCTCAAGACACCCTTGTTCTTCTATTGTACCTACTTCACCCAGATACACTGTGGCAACTTTGCCTTGGCAAATTCTGGAAGGAAGGGTATACCCACTTTCATCCCTCCTGCGGCACTGCAGGGTGACTCCCACCTTTAGGCTGCTCAATGTGTGGACAGCTTCAGTCTGGGTACAGAATAAGGTGGAGGGCATGCCTGGGGGGGGGTCTTGCCCTCACTGAGCATCTGGGGGGAGGGGGAGGCTGGGATTGTGAGAAATGAGTCTATTCTCAGCCAGGACCACCACAGAATCGATCTCTTTCCTCTTGAAAGTCCTACTAAGTCTCTTTTGAGATAGTTCTCACAGACTGGTCTCAGCTTTAGGTCTCAGCTTCTACCTGCTTTCTTTGTATGTGGGTTACAAACCCAGCAGGCGTGTATCCTGGCCTGATTCTTCCCAAATCCAGCCCTCCATTTGGCTATGTGCTCTCTTGTTGCTGCCCTGGCCGGTTGGCAGGGGACAGCCATGGTGCCAGTTGGCGTTCTGGGGCTGGAAGAAGCCTGCAGCAACCTAGGTGCTGATGCTGTCCGAGTTGGGAGAGACCTGAAGAAGCAAGTGAACCAGGGTCTTTCTTCCTTGGGGAGGAGTCCACACTGATGGGCAATTCAGGACAAAGGCTCGGAAAGATGGAAGCCTGGGAAGCGCCAGCATTTTGTCACTTGGTGGCTGTGCATGACTGTGCCTGAGGCTGTCCAGCACTGGACTCCCTTCCAGGGCCAACAGTTTCCCCTCACATGGAGGCCAAAACACAGGAAACTCCTGGTGCCAACCACCCACACACCTGTGCCCAAGGAAGGGCTTTCAGGCTTGCTTATCCTGCCTTCTGCTGCCTGGAGGCTGGGGATACCATGGCCTCTAAGTTCCATGAGGGGGTCTGACTGCCCCAGTAGTGGGCATTGTCAAAATCCCTGGAATCAGGGTGTCTGACAAATGAAGGCGATCATCGTCAAGTTCCCTGGGCTGCCATCAGTGATTTAATTCTTGGCTAACCAGCTGACTGGTGAAATGGAATGGTTTACTCCAGAAGCTGAGCCGAGTCCTGTGTTTCTTCCTGTTTCAAAGCAGCTCAGCTGGGCTGGGATGTAGCTCAGTGGTACAGCACTTGCCTAGCATGCGTGAGGCCCTGGGTTCAATCCCAGCACCAAAAAAGAAAAGACAAAAAAAAACCTCTCCCCTCAAAGCAGCTCAGCTAAGGAGCTGGCCACTATACTGCATGGAACTGTGACCCCACTGGCCCCTTTTGTGGGTGGCACGAGTGCAAGGACTTGGTGGTCTCTTGCCGGCTCAGTGTACAGTTGTGTTTATAAGAGAATAGGTACCAAGCCCAGCAATTCTCAAAAGAGCCCAGGAAGCAGATTCCATTGTGGGGCTCCCCTCTGAGACAGTGGGCATGGTCTCCCCACTGCAGCTGTGACATGAACATCCCTGAGCACCTATGTTTTAGGTTTATTCCAGACAGATGCTCCCTCCTTCCCTCACAGCCTACCCCACTGTTCACATCACCACCAGCACTTCCATATTCCTCATTGTGGCTCTCAGTTTGCACATCACAGATTTCCCTGCCCTGATCCCCAGCCTGGATTTATCATGTCTGGACATGGGGCAATCTTCAGCCAGAAAAGAGGACACCAAAACCTGTGACTTCACCTGTAATAGCCCATGTCCAATGGCAAGAGGGAACCCCTGGTGGTTCTGGTCCACCCTGACCCCACAAGAAAAGTGTGCACACATGGAAGGAAATGGGAAAAGAGAGTGAGAGGGTTAAAATACACAATGTATTATGTGCACCAGAAATGACTTTAGAATGAAGAGGTGGCCAGGTTCTTATTATTTTCTCTGAAATATCTAATTTAGAAACATTTTAAATCTGCATATGTGGTTTCCTTGGTTATGCACAGCACGAAGTCCATGCCATGGTGTGGGTTGGACTACCCCTGTGGTTTGTGAGCTCAGCAGTCACTAACTTCTAGCTCTTTTTGGTAAATGGGTGCCTGTTCACCAAGCCCCAGCCCCACCCTCACAGCAGTGGGGTGGTGCAGCTGGGCCCCAGAGAAGGTGCCATCACACCTGGCCCTCCAGCCAACCCCTCTGTGGGACACGACCTGGAAAACCATACCTTCGACACACTTTGTGGGGCAAGCCGGGCATCTCCTCAGGGTAGAAGCCCTCGCCACAGGTGGGCACACATTTCCAGTCTTGGAAGTGGAAGTTTTTTGCACAGTGAATACATTCTTCTCTGCTGGGCCCTGAGAGGTACAGGAAAAGATGTCAAGATTTGTCCCATGGTAACCATACCCCAGGCCGGCTCCAGTGCACTGTAAGATCCATGGTACCATTAGGATGTCCCCAGCCTTCACACACAGCTGGCACTTTCCAGATGCTCACTGTGGGCTGGGCTGTACTCACTGGGTCCTGGGAGGTGGACATCACCATCCCCATTTTACAGATGGAGATAACAGAGGCATGAGTCAATCTCAGTGGCACCTCCCCACTGCCTGTGCCATGGTGACTGCCCCTGACTCCACACACTTCCTTTCCCATCAGGCTTAGGCCCTACTTCTGCCAAAACCAGTGCAGTAGCCACTCATCAGCCACTATGGCCAAACTGAGATGTGCTGGGAGCATAAAACACATAGCCACTGGGCTTTAGCTGATACATGTCCAAGTGATACTGTTTAAGATTCACTGGGTTAAATGATATTACTAAATACGGTTTCCACTTGTTTCTTTTTACTTCCTTTTTTTCATTTTTATTAGGATATATTCATCGTATGGAGCAGATTCATTGTGACAATTTCAAATAGGCTTACACTGTATATTGGTTAGATCGTCCCCACCATCGACCCCTTCCCCACACCACTTAAAGCAATTGCAAGAGGTTTCATCAAAAAAAAAAAGAGGTTTCATCATTCTATTTCATATATGTATATGCAGATCATCAGCCACATTCCCTCACCTTCACCTCCTCCACCCCCCATAAATATCCCCCTCTCCCCACACACTGAATCTATTTTGTAATCTGTCTTTTGTTATTAATTCCAAAGTTGGTGTTTAAAGGGGTGTCTCAGTGTATCCCCACTGTGAGTATACTTCACTTTGGTCCGTTCAACTCCTTCCATTGCTCTCCCTCACCCCATTACCTCCCACCTCCCATTTTCAGCAGCTTTCAGTAAATATCCTTTATCCTCTACCTTCACAGATGTTAGGTGTTACAGTATTGTTGATGCTCTTTTGTTCTCTCTTCCTTTCCCTCCTCCCCCGAGTTCCATAGAGTAGTTTCACTATTAGAAACATGTTCTTCATATAAGTTTGTGTTTTTTAAACTTAAGATGTGGTTATTAGGCCACTTAAAATTGTATTTGTGGCTTGCTTCCTAGTCTTATTGGACAGAATTCTGTGGATGATGGGGAGAAAGCAGAAGAGATTTCAGGAGTGGTGTTGATGGGTTTGCAGTGACATTTTCACTGAGAAGAAATGACCAAGGGCTTATGGAGTGGGGAGGAGTGGCCTGAAGAGAGAAAAGCTCAGAATAAAGGTCTCATTTATGGAGGAAACCCTGCGGCTTGACCCAGAGCCAACACACTTGGCCTTGGTCAGAGACTGGACTTTAGGGACTAGACTGAGTGCTCACTCTGCCAAGAAACATTTGAAAAGGGATATCAGAAAGAGGCTGTGAGGTGGCCCCTGGATGACAGCATTGGGAGCTGGGCAAGGGCAGGAAATCATCTCAGATGCTGCTATGTTTGGATATGGAGTGACTGTGTCCCCTGAGGGCCCATGTGTTGGGTCTCTGGTCCTCAGTGTGGTGGCGTTGGGAGGTAGTAGGACCTTTAAGAGGTGGGACCAAATGGGAAGTCATAACTGGCCCCTCTTCTTCCTTTGGTTTCCTGTCTTGCCATGTGATCTCTGCCTCTCACATTGTGAAGTCATCCACTGTGAGGTCCTTACCAGAACTGAGCCAATGCCAGCACCACTGAGTTCTCAGACCTCAAGAAGTGTATCTAAATAAAACTCTTTTCTTTCTCAGTATCTAGTCTCAGATATTTTGTTATAGAAACAGAAAACAGTGTAATATAGTTACTCTGTGATCATCACAGTCCTCTGGGAAACTTTTTGCACCCCACTTTAATTCAATGTAGGCCCTTAGACTGTGGCCTGACAGCTAATAAAGTGACATCATTTCTTCCTGGTATGACTCTGGACTAAACAGGCATCTCTGCTGTGTCAAGGGAAGATCCTCTGCAGAGGTTCCAGAACCCTGCAGGGCCCTATTCACAGGGCTTGGGGATCCAGGCTGGTTCCACACTCAGAAGCATAGCTTTAGCCTGGGAGGGGATTTTGAGGTCATCCAGGCTAAGCCCTGCCTGTGATGGTCAGGAAGAGCGAGATGAAAAAGGCTGTAGAATTTTGAGTGGGAGGCAGAATCGGAGTCCTTTTGGGTGACAGAGACTTTATAGCAAATGAGAGTCTCCACAGGGTTCCACTTTTCTTGTGACATGGTAGAAAAGTTGCTTACCACACAGTAGGGATTGTCTAGTTTGTGCTCTTGATGAGAACTTGGTCTCATGCTTTGGCCAATCCGGTCCTCCCTTGTCATTTAATTTATCTCTAGAGATATCTGCAGCGCAAGGTGGCAGGTGGATGCACTTGAAGGTGCCATCCCTCTGTGTTTGTTCGGGAGGGGGGTGGTCAGCATCTGTCATTGTCCCTTTCCTGTGTCTCACCTGCTGAATCTTGTCCCCCCCCCATAGCTCTTCCTCCAACACTAGGCTTCCTAATGCCCAAGGAGCCTCTGTGGTGGGAAAGGACCACATCTATTTGTACTGTTTAATGCTCTGTGTGTGTGTGTGTGTGTGTGTGTGTTTGTGTGGTGCCAGGATTGAGCCAAGAGTTTCATGCATGATAAGCTTGTGCTCCATCACTAAGCTACACCCCAGCCTCATGTCTCATTTATTAAAAGTTAGTTATGGGCTGGGCGTAGCTGAGTGGAAGACTACTTGCCCTGCTGTGTGAGGCCCTGGCTTTAATTCCTAGGACAGCCCCCAAAAGTTGATCATACATTCAGTTGGGATTGATGGAAGCTCTGAAGATGGACGTGGTGATGGCTGCACAGTGATGGATGTTCACAATGCACTGCATTGTACACCTAAAAATGGTCATGATGGGGGCAGTGATGAGGTGGATGATTCCCACCAATACACAGTTCCAAGGGGAGTGGCTCTGGTGTCCTATAGCACAAGAGTGGGACTAGCATCTTCAATAGCTAATTAAACATTTCCGGAGAGCTAAAGAGTTTGAGGGCTCCCAACACATAGAAACAATAATATCTGAGGAGTTGGAAATGATAATTACCCTGACTTGATCATTATAAACTGAATACATGTATTGAATTATAATACTGTACCCCATAAGTAAGTATAAATATTATACATCAATTAAAATTTTTTTAAACACTAAATTTTACATTATGTATGTGTATTCTACCATAAAAAAATAAACAAACAAACACTGAACCACTGGGTGCAGTGGTTCCTACCTGTAGTTCCAGCTACTTGGGAGGTAGAGATAGGAAGGATGGCAGTTCAAGGCCAGCCTGGGTGAAAAGTTAGTGAGATTCTTTCTCAACAAAACAAGCCATGGATGGTACAGTGCACCTGTCATCCCATCTGTGTGCCCCATAAATAGGAGGACCCCTGTCCAAGGCTGGTCCCTGGCAAAAAGCAAGACCCTATCTTAAAACTAACCTACAGCAAAAAGGGCTAGAGGTGTGGCTTCAAGTGGCAGAGCTCCTGCCTAGCAACCGCAAGGCCCTGAGCTCAAATCCCAGTGACATACATAGACACACACACACACACCCCAATGCTGACTTTCCTAAGCAAACTATTTTCACAACTACTGAACTTAGGAATTTTATGCTCAGTCAAGTCTCCCAAGGATATCATTGAGTCACAAGTCTTTACAGGCTTCTAATGCTTTAGAAGCACCCACAATTGTAACAACAGTGGTAAGATGCATTATGCTTATGCTAACCTGTTACACTGCACCCACCAGAGGGTCTGGACCAAGAGGAAACAGAGACCTTATGCAAAGCCAAGAAGATGCATTTCTGACCATTCTCCCTGGGTCTATTTCACTGGACTGTCTCAGGCACAGGATGCCCATGGACCAGGCACAATCCTTCCAGGTGCCTGACAAGCACATGTGTACATCCATGTGCCCCAATGGCTGCCAGTCACTGACCAACACCCATCTCCCAGGTGGGAAAATGGAACCCATGGGTACAGAGCATCAAGCTCTGGAGGAAGGTTGATTGATCGCCAAAGTATCACAATGTCCCTGCTCAGATGTACTGGCATCTGCACTGGAAAGGCCACCATGCTCTACCTGAGATGTCATCGGCAATCATGTCTGATCTGACCTTCCCCATGATTGTGCCCAGGCCCCTGTGTGGGCAGTGGGCAGCAGTGGTCATCAAATGGGAGCCTGGAGGAGGAGGCCAGGCAGGCCTAGGTCTCCAGGAGGAACGGTGTGGGCAACTGAGAACAGGTGCCTCTAATGAAACCCACAGCCGACACAAAGGAAGAAGCTTCCAAGTGACTCAGAGTATAGAAGAGAAGTCTCTCTCCCCAGTGGCTGCCTGGGGTTGCATGTGCTCCCAGGAGGTTAGAAACGATCTAGGTTGGAGGGTATGGGAAGGCACGGGAGTCCCCTCCCCAAAAGCCTGAGACTTGTACCATATTGAATTAAATGCCTAAAGTGATGGGATTGAGATAAGAAAATCTACAAGTGACTCAAAGCCATTTGCCACTAGGCAGTCCGGGAACTCAGAAAAAGAGAAGTGAATTGAATTACCGAAACCCAAAGAGATATGCAACTGCATGGCCAAACGTTGTGGATTTAAGTGACTCTGATATTTGGGTAAGTTGCCATGCATCCTAAACAACCCTGGCTGAACAGTGAGTCCAGAAACAAAGAACAAAAACCACAGGTGAAAAGGTGTCAGGTCAGCTTGCTAGGAAAAGCTGCAGGGCTGCCCATGGGGGGAACTTTTCCATACACACAGCTGGGCTCTTTCTGGGCTTGTCCCAGGAAGATATGGCGGACGTCATGTTTCCCACAAGTGACCTAGGGTCAGTCATCACTGCCGATTCTGGCCTGGCTACAATCTTGTGTTCTTTGGCATGTCCACTTCTGCATAGCACAGCTGACAAGGCTCATATGGCCACACTGGGGAGGGCTGTTCCTGTCCTGTGGCACTTCTAGAAAATGGCATGATGGCAACTGTGATTTAGCAGAGAACTGATGCTTTAAATTGTCACTGCAGCAAAAACTCAATCTAATTTTTCTTAGGATGCACCAAAATGCTGGAGGCAGGAAGGAGAATGGAGAAAACTTTGCCTGAACCATATCAGAGCCCACAAACTCACTATGCACTTTGACTAGATTGTGCAGGTAACTGCAAAATGAAAACCAATAAAATGAATGAAATCTCTGCTATATTCTGCATAAAAAAACTGGGCCCGGAGACATCTGTGCTATCATCTTTGTAGGGGAATTATAACACATATAAAATTGTTTATAGCAATCTTTTCCTCTTTTGAATAAAATGTTTGAAATAAGTGAAGATGTACAAAGAACTGAAGTTTTGAAAACATCCTATCCCCCACCCCATCCTCACCTGGATCCATCCCTGCCCCCTCTCAGAGGCCTCTGAATCTTCCTGGTGTGCATTTCAGCATTATTTCTTCAGCAAGACTAGACAGCTCATGAGAGTTAAGCATCCTTTATCTCTTGCTTAAAAGCATTCGCAGCCTGCCTGGGAAATCCAGGCTGCTTGCTCAAAGTGGCCCTTGCACCTTTTTAGTATTCAATTTAAAAACTGTAGTATAATGCACATAATATAAGTTTCCTGACATCTTAACCATTTTTTTTTTTTTTTTGGTGGTACTGGGGTTTGAACTCAGGGCTTCAATGCTTGCTAGGCAAATGCTCCACCACTTGAGCCACTCCACCAGCCCTCTTTGGATTTGGTATTTTCGAAATAAGGTCTCACAAGCTAATTGCCCAGGGCTAGTTTTGAACCTCATCCTCCTAATCTCTGCCTCCTGAATAGCTAGGATTAGAGGTGTGAGCCACTGACACTTGGCTGACCTGCACTGATACGTTTACATCATTGTGCAGCCCTCACCACCACCCATTTCTAGAACTTCCTTCCTCTTCCCCAACTGAAACTCTGTACTCATTCAAAAATGATTCCTCCTTCTGTCTTTCCCCAGCCCTGGGAGGGCCTTTGTTGTTTTTATAGTCTGTTTATATATTTTTTTTACTGTGCTGGGGATTGAACCCAGGGTCTTGTGCATGCTAGGCAAACATTCTTTTTTTTTTGTGGTACTGGGGCTTGAACTCAGGGCTTTCACCTTGAGCCACTCCACCAGCCCTATTTTTGTGAAGGGTTTTTCAAGATTGGGTCTTTCAGAACTATTTGCCCGGGCTGGCTTTGAGCCGTGATTCTCCTGATCTCTGCCTTCTGAGTAGCTAGGATTATAGGCCTTAGCCACTGGCGCTGGGCTCTAGGCAAACTTTCTGCCACTGAGCTACATCTTTAGCTCCTTGCATTTGTGTTCTAATGCTGGAATAAATACAGAAAGTCATGAAGCTGTAGAGCTTTCTCAGATTCAAGACAGCTGGCCTATCCACCTTGGTAGCCCTGATTGCATCTTGTCCAGTTGAACAGGCCTTGACAGGTGAGCCACTCACCCACACAGGTGCGGCAGGTAGGATGGCATTTTCCACATCTGATCAGTTCAGAATCAAAGTAGGTGCCGGGCTCACAGTCTGGAATGCAGCTGCCCCGTGCAAGGCTATCAAAAAGAAAGAAAGTTCCAATTAAATTATGATTTGCCCCCAAATGCCTTTAAGAGGAAATTAAAATTGTCCAAGCATAGCTTTTTGTGTCACTGAAGGTTCCCAGCTAACGAAAGCTGGCAAAGCTGTCCTGAGCCAACTGGAGGTCCCCAGGCCTTGGTCCTGGCATAGGAGGCCAAGGCCTCAGGCTCTTTCCTGTTCTGTGCAGGAAACACAGAACCTAGATCTCTCAAACCTAGATCTGAACCCCAGAGAACTACAGTTTGCACACTGTTGACACACTGGCTCTGTCTTACTGGTCCAAGTCTCCCCTAAAGTGTCAAGTGTTTGCAGTGTCTAAGGGGAAGGGGGATATGTCTGCTGCAAGGCCTACTGGAAGCCCTGGATCAGCTTCTGTTTCTGCCTTGCTCAAAACCTTTCTGCTTGACAATGAACTTGAAATTCAAGATTTCCTCCTAGGACCTGGCAGCTGCTTCATGTGGCTTCTGCCTTCCTCCTTTACCCCATCAGGGACTGCACTCCCCTTGCTCAGCCAGAGCCAGGCATCCCAGGGACATGAAAAGCTAGATCTCCCAGACCTCAGAGCCCTCTGCACCCCGTTTCCTCCTGATAATTGGTTCTTCCAGCACACTACTACTTGGTGGACTCACTGAATGTTCGCTGTCTGGCTCATGGTTGTGTAAATAAATGTGACCTGCTATGATTTCTTTAGATCCTGCGATTATACTGTGTCTGGTGTACACATTTTAAGTGGGTTTGCCACTAAACATATCGAGCAAGTGCTCTAGGGTGCACTTGTCAAACTCAGAAAATCCTGCTGTGATATTGTGATATGTAATTAGAAGTACCTATTTGGTCTTCCTCTTGGCCTCACCATTCCCCAAACCCTTGGAATCAATGAAGTGTGAAGTGTCATTTTGCATGCTAACAAGATGACTGACTGGTGGCTGGGGGCTCATCTGTAGCCTCAGTATGGAGGCTGGTTGCCAGGTGAACTGACCATTTGATCAGGAATCTTGAGTCCCACCACCCCAATCTGAGAGAAAAGGAGAGGGTTGAGTAGAATTGGTCACCAATGATTACTGATATAAAAACTCAGGTCTCCATAATGGAGCCTCCACCCAGAATTTTGAGGGCTTCCAGATTGGTGAACCAAAAACATGTCCACCTACTGGAAGGGCAGTGCATCCCAAGTCTACAGGGTGTTTGACCTTTCCAAACCTTGTCCTATGTCCTTCATCTGCCCATTTGACTGTTTCCTGTAATATTCTTTATACAAAATGGGTAAGTGGAAGGAATGGGTTTCCCTGAGTTCTGTTGGCAAGTCTAGAAAATTAACCAAAACCAAGAAGGGCGGGGTGGGGGTGGGATGGGAACACTAATTGGTAGCAGGTTGGTCAGAAGGATGGCTCACCACCTGGGACCTGGGACTGGCATGTGAAGTGGGGGGGCAGTCATGGGGACTGGGCCCTTAACCTAAGGTCCAGACTGTTGAGTGAGTTAGGTCAAAGGACGCTCGGTGTCCACTCAAGAACTGCTGTGTGTAGGGGGATAACACACGTGTTTTGGTGACTCTGGGGAAGTGTATGTGAGAGCAGGAAGAATACTTTGTTTTGTCCTTTCTCTCACACCTGCATTTTGGGAGGAGACACCTGTACATTTATGAGCCCTCTGCATTGATGTCAGATGCTCACCCAGGACTCTCCCTCATCATGGTGCCAGGGTAGTTAAACCAGATCTTTACTAACTGATGTTCCCCTGCGAACCGCTCCTGCATTTATCCCTCCTAAAGAGATGGATGGCCAGGAGGCAGCGGCTCTGCTGCTCTCTTACTGCTTGAATGTGACAGCGATGATTTGAAGTCACAGCTTAACAGACGATTGGGCAATAAAAGGAAGCTTTCAGTGGATTATGGCTGGCTGTTTTCTGAGACTGCTCAGCTTCTCACTGCTGCAACCACTGTGGGAAGACTGCCTGGGAGGTGCTTTCTTTCAGATTTTCCCTCCCCTCATAGGATGCAGAAACTGCTACCCTGGAACTTTCCAGCTCCTCTCTCCTGGGAAATTGATTCCAGGGAGTTGGAACCACAAGGCCCTTTGATCTTTGACATTAAGTCAGTAAGTAATCTGGGGTTGAGGATTCATGGTAGGAGGCACCCAACCCAGCCTGTGGGGCGTATGGTATATCAAAAGTGCCTCTCCCAGGCTCCAGACTCCAGCTGCCTGGGGAATGTCTCCTTTTTCTTCCAGCTTTTATTTTTCCCCTTTGGGGGAATCTCCTTCCTGGACCAGTTCACCCTTTTAACTCTAATGCTGTCTTGTTCAGCCAACAGTTTAAATGACAACAGGTGTGACATGTCCCTTTGAGGTCTTGCTTCTTTTCTCCCCCAGGACTCTGATTGGGAAGAATGGGGCAGGCGGAAGTCAGCCACATAGGATCAATTTCTGGGGAAAGCATTACTCTCCTCTGCATATAAAACATGAGTAATAATAATGACCTTGACCCATAAGTTGCTGCTGACCTTGACCTTGGTGAGAACATATGGAATAAGAGTAGATGCTCAGTAAGTTTTCTTCCTTCATTCCTTACTCTAAAAAACAATTCACATCCATGGTGAATTCCAGTCCAGCAGCATTTGGGAGGGACACGGGGCTGGGAAGTGGACTGCAGCCTCTTTAGTGCCTCAGTATGCAAATCACTATGCAAATGTTCCTTACTGCACCCCCTCCCCTAGAAGCCTGCTGGAGATGCAGGGTCTCAGACTTCACCCAGCCTCCCTTATCATTTGGACACAGACCTTGGCAATTCCTGTGTGCATCACAGGCGGGAGGTGTTGCTCTCGCTCACCCCTTCCCTTCCTCTTTCCCATATGGACCATGGTGTTAATCCCTCTACAATGGGAGTATCCACAATGTAATTTTAATAGCATGCTTCCTAAGCTTCTAGATAGTAACTGGTAATATATATTTGATTGCATTAAATGTAATTTAGTTGCATGAGATAGTATAAACAATTCAAAATCTTCTGAGAAAAATCCTTAATCTAGCAAAGTGTTTTTAAAGAAATGCATGTTGAGCTTTGCAGGGCTGAGCTTGGTGGGCAGGGAGGAACAGGAACCCACAGAGAATCCTCAGGAAACGACATTCTCTTGCTGCCGTGAAGATGCTGGAAATGGGCGAAGGGTGATTGTGGGAGAAGACAGAATGATGGGGATGAGGGCAGGTGGGCGAGCTGTGGCCCACCCTGGTCTGGTTCAGGAGGGGAACTGGAGCAGGCAGAGTTCCTCTGGCCAAGGAAGGAGATCGGAGTGTCCTGAGAAGCCTCAAGCCTGACTTCAGGTGTGATACTGATCAACTGTTTCTTTACCAATCAATTCTCCAAACCCTGTGTACAATCTCTATCCATCCTCCAACTCTCCCTTTTCACAACTGTTCCTAAGTGGACACATGCTTTTGACAAACCAGGAATCTTTGGGCTTCGGGCCTCTGACATTTTAGCTTTCAGGTAAAGATGACAAATCTTGGTGAATCATGACAGAGATTAAACCTAGTGCCAACACTTTGACACTCTTCAGGTTTCAGGCTGGGGGGTTTACCTGAATCCTTCCTTACACACAGTACACATCTCAGGGTCATCCACACACTTCTTACAGCTGGGGTGGCACGTAAGGCAGTTTTTCTGACCTGGAGAAAAATAGGAAGATGAGGAGAAAGAAGAGGGACAGTGTGAAGACACTCAAAGCTGGAATGTCAAAGCTCTTCCCAGTGCTGTCTCCAGAAAGGATCAGCTGATGGAACCAACAAGGGCCACATTGCTAGATACTGGCTCACAGACCTCTCACCTCCCTTTTCTGGAGCAAAAAAAAAAAGTCCTTAAATGACCTGAGGCTTCACAGGTGGTCCCTTTTCAGAGGAGACATGTTCTGGTCCTGCTTACTGTGACAGGGTTGGAAGCCAATTCCTGGCTGGCCAAGTGGAGCTGGATCAGGTGCAAACATCTATAAACCTGATGGAGCCTGGATACTGCTGGCCCCTCCCCCTGGTGCTATCCCAGGGGTCTTCATGGAAGACTTGGCACCTGTGTATGGTGAGGCAAAAACCTTCGAGCAATCATCATACTCCTCTGGGGAATTCTGGGTTGGTCCAAGTCCCACCTGCATTTACGTAAGTTATTATCTATGTCACTTATATTGGCATGTCACCAAACACCACACCACCTTGTGCTACTACTAAGTGTTGGGCCTGGAAGCTGAGGGTGGTAGTTGTTTCTACCCCTCTGTGCAGCCTCCTCAGGCTCACAGGCAGCTTCACGTGCACACAGCAGGTGCTCAGCAAGGGTGGTAGTGAGGGAGGATGGCTGACGCTGGCTGTGGAAGGAAGTGGGGGGGAGGAGGAGCCTCTGTTCTGAAACATGTCCGGCTGGCAGCCACAGCAGGTGTTGCGAAGGCTGTGAAATGTGTCTTGGATGATTGTCTGTTTCCTCTCTAAGAGAATTTGGTTACTTTGACAGCTTTAGATATTGTAAGATTTCTGGGCTCTCCCCCCAAGAGTAACAGCAATGGCCTGACCTGCTGGATCAATACCCTCTGTGCAGAGCGCCAGAGTGTTGGCAGTGATTGTAAGGCCGGAGACTGAGGGCGTAATGCTCAAACAGTGGTTTCTTTAACCCATTCGGAAACTCGCCCCTGTCAAACCTTCTCTTTTGTCTCCTGTAGGGTGAGGTGAACAGCCCTTCTCATCCCATCTACCTTCCTAAGACAGATGGGCTGCAGGACATCTGGCTTCGCTGCTCTGAGTCCGAGTCCCACCTTTGTCATTACTAGTTGTGGACCTTTTATCCTCTCAGCCTTAGGATGAGGGATATGCCCACCTGTCAGGGGTGGTACTCCATAAAGTGCCCACGACGCCCACTCCAGCCTCTGGGCCAGAACCCACCGTCCATAGGGGC